TCTGTCTGTCTGTCTGTCTGTCTGTCTGTCTCTCGGTCTCCTGGACCTTCTCAGCACAGGGATCCCAGGTCTGCTCTTGGCTCTTCTTCCTTAATAGTGGTGAGATCGTCTCCTTCCTGTCTCTGGGATGGCTCATTTTAAGCCTAGCAGGATGGCAAAACTGACTAATCTCTTCATTGGGGTTCTATAGACCTTATTTGCATTCTCCCACCCCCACACAGGTGCCGTGAACTTTACTGCATTATTAGCAAGCTATCCAATCCCCTTGGTGAGCCACAATTACCATATTTGTATAGTCCCACCCAGTCATTGGGTCGGAGTTAAAGGACCATGGCGAGAAAGGCCATATAAAAGCAATCCATCACATCGCAGACATGCTATCAGGAGGGACCAGTCCCTAAAGAAGGACATCATGCTCGGTAAAGTAAAATGTCAGTAGAAAAAGAGGAAGATCTTCAACAAGATGGATTGACACAGTGGCTGCAACAATGGGCTCAAACACAGCAGCGATTGAGAGGATGGCACAGGACCGTGGGCAGTGTTTCGTTCTGTTGTTCATGGGGTCGCTGTGAGTTAGAACCAATTTGACGGCTCCTAACAACAGTATAATTGTGGTATTCTCTATTTGTCCCTTTGTCAAATTTTGCTTCATATATTTTGAACCTGTTATTAGACATGAATACATTTTTAATTTTTGTCATTTCCTGATGCATTAACCCTTTTATCATTATGAAATGTCCCTCTTTCTCTCTGATAATACTCTTGGTCTTAAAGTCTTCTTTATCTGATACTAAGATAGCTACTCTAGCCTTCTTAAGCATAGTAATAGTATAATTTATCTTTTTCTGTCCATTTATATTCAACCTATCTGTTTATAGCGTGTCTCTCAAAGACAGCATGTAGTTGGATCTTGCTTTTCCGTTTTTACAATCTGTTCTTGCAATCTCTGCTTTTTAATTAGAATATTTTGTCCATTAATATTAAATGTAATTATTGATGCAGCTGAATTTAGGCCAGCCATTATATCATTTGTCTTCTGTTTGTCTATTCTGATTTTTGTTCCTTTCACCTTACTCTTCTGCCTTGTTTAGTATTAACTGAATATTTTTAAAATTCCATTTTAATCTATCTGTTAGCTATACCTCTTTGCATTATATTTCATAGTGATTGTTTTAGTGATTACAATACACATTCTTAACCTTTCATAGTCTACTTAGAGTTAATACTGTATTGTTACCTCATTTAAAATGAAAGAACCTCCAAAACTTATAGGACCATTTACCCCCTCCCATGTCCTTTATGCCATAGTTGTCATATTATTTCATCTACATATATCATAGTGTCCATAATACAGTATTAAAATTTTGGCTTTAAATAGTTGTTTATATTTTAAAGAAATTAAGGACAGGGAAAGTCTTTTACGTTTACCTATATTTTTACATTTCCAGTGTCTTTATTCCTTACTAAAAATTGTTTTCATCTGGTATTATTTTGTTTGGCCTGAAGAACTTTCTTTAGCTTTTCTTATAGTGTAGGTCTACCAGTAATGAATTCTTAGTATTCTTTAACCAGAAAATGCCTTTATTGTGCCTTTATTCTGTTTTTATACTTCATTAGTTTATTGTATTTTATACGCATATGTCATTTTATTTTTATTTATATATTATATTGACCTAAAACAGTTTAGTTCTGGGAATTTCTACTGCAGAACTAAGCTGTTATCATTGCTGTAATTTTAAAGTCAAGTTTATTGAGGTATAATTTACACAAAGTAAAATTCATCCTTTTTAATTACAGTTTTATGAGTTTTGACAGTCACATACAGTCATGTAACCACCACCAAAATCAAGATCATTTCCATCATCCCAAAAAAAATTTCTCCATGCTACTTTGTTGTGGTCAGCCCCCCAACCCTACCCCTTAGGCCCTTGCAACCACTGATCTGTTTTCTTTCCCTATATTTTTGCCTTTTCCAGAATCCCATATAAATGGAATCATATAGTCTGTAGCCTTTTGAGTCTGGCTTCTTCAGCTAAGGAGCCCTGGTGGCACAGTAGTTAAGAGCTATAGCTGCTAACCAAAAGGTTGGCAGTTTGAAACCACCAGCCACTCCTTAAACCCTCCAGGGCAGTTCTGCTCTGTCCTATAGAGTTGCTATGAGTCAGAATCAATCAACGACAAGGGGTTTGGTTTTTGGTTTTCTTTAACTGAGCATAATACATTTGTGATTCATCTATATTGTTGCTTTTTACTGCTGAGTAGTATTCCATTGTACGGATGTACCATGATTTGTTTTTCTGTTTACCAGTTGAAGGACATTTCAGTTGTTTCCAGTTTTTGGTGATTACAAATAATCACCATATAAACATTCACATACAGGTTTTATGTGAACATAAGTTTTCATTTCTCTTAGGTAAATACCTAGGAGTGGAATTGCTGGGTCATAGGTAAGTGTGTGTTCAACTTTATCAGAAACTGCCAAACTGTTTTCCAGCAGTTGTCTCATTTTACATTCTCACCAGCAGCTTATGAGAATTCTTTTTGCTCCATATCCTCACCAACCCTTGGTACAGTTAATTTTGTTTCTTTTTCTTCACTGTTTTAGTAGGTATATAGGTGTATCTCATTGTGGTTTTGATTTGCATTTCCGTAACATCTAGTGATGTTGAACATCTTTTCACGTTGTTATCTGCCATTCATATATGTTCTTTAATGAAGCATCTATTCATACCTTTTATCTATCTTATTATGGGGGGGTTTGATTTCTTATTTTTGAGTTTTGAGTATTTGCTATAAATTCTGGAATTGCTTTTATTCTGAAAGAATATTTTCACTGGATATAGAATTCAGGGTTAACAGGTTTTTGTTGTTTTGTTTTGCTTTCCTTTCAGCACTCTAATGATGCTGTTGTACTGCCTTTTGGCCTCCATTGTTTCTGATGAGGAGTCAGTAGTCATTGGAATCATTTTTCCCCTGTATGTAATATGTCTTTATTTTCCCTTGCTGCTCAAGATTTTCTATTTTTGCTTTTCAGCAGTTTGACTATGATGGACCTAGACATAGTTTTCGTTATGTTTTACACTTCCTGCATCTGTAAATTATGTCCTACATCAAATTTGGAATTTTTAAACCATAAATTCTTCAAATATCTTTTTCGCCCCATTCTCTTTCCTCTCTGGGTCTCTCATTAACCGTATGGCAAACCTTTTGATGTTGTCCCACAGGTTTATGAGGCTCTGTCCATTTGTCATTAGTCCTTTTTCTCTTTGTTCTTCATATTAGATCATTTTTATTGATCTATCTTCAAGTTCACTCTTTTCTCATCTGAGTCTGCTCTGAAACCCATCCAATGACTATTTCATTCAGATACTGTTTTTCAGTTCTAGAATTTCTATTTGATTCTTTTTATAGTTTGTTTCTCAGCTGAGATTTCATAAATCTTTTCGTTCATTACAAGTATGTTTTCCTTTCCATAGTTCTAATACCTGCTTTAAAATCCATATCTGCTGCCGCCAGCATCTGGATCATCTTGGAGTTGGTCTCTGATTATCTTTTTCTCTTGAGTATGAGTCATGTCTTCCTGTTTCCTTGTATGTAGAATAGTTTGGAATTTTAGTCTGGATATTATGAATGACACATTGTAAAGACTGTATTTGTTATGTTTCTCCAAAGAGTATTGATTTTTCATTTTATAAAGTTGAACTCAAAATTGCAAACCCTGACTCACCTGTGTTGAGCAGTAGTCAAAATCTCAGTAGTTATTTTAGCCTTAGCTCGGCTACCTGATAGATCAGGGATCCACTAGAGATCTGTGCCACATTTACACACAGAAGTTCAGGCTCCCCATCTCTGGTTCTCTTTTATGGGGGCCCCCAACATTCCAGCTGCTTTGGTTGCCCCAAACTCTGAGCTCTGGTTCTTTAATCTAGTAGCACTGCAGGTTTCTTTCCAAGTTTCAGCCACATCACATGGTACCAACTGGGACTTGCCTTCAGGCTTAAGACTGTAAAAAACCAACATCAACAAAAAACAAAACGGGAAGCTCACAAGTACTATTCCATTCTTCTAAGTTTCAGCCCTCCTTTAGCATTGGCTTGCTTTTAGTCACTATTTCAGTACCTTAAAGTGTGCAGAGTTTAGTTATCTTGAAATAACTAGTTCAGTAGGAGCTACTCAGCCATTGCTGAAACCTCCTTAATTTGCTAACTTTTAAAGTCTTTACAAACTTTTTTTCAAACATAGAGCTGCGATATGACTAGGACACCTGGGGAGGAGTATCCATTCTTGTCCTCTGAGGCCTGTGGCTAACACAGGTGTGGGACACTTTTACCCTTGTAATGCTTTAGCTCCATTGCTTTGCCCTTGAGGTCAGCAGTTAGTGGGACCTTTCTTCTGTCACATACTTCAAACCCAGCAGCTCCCCTTTGGAATAGGAAACCTGCAAAGTAGAGTAAATTATGAAATAAGCAGACTTCTGGGGTTCCTTTTCACTAGTGTCTGTGTATCTGAGAAGTTAAGTCCTCCTGTGGCTGAGACCCCCTACCCCCCATTACTGTTCCCCAGAAAACCTGACTCGTCTCGTTTTGTTCTTACTTTTCAGATTAAACAGAGCCAGTCAGACTTACTTCTTCCCAATCCATTTGACGGATCAGCTTCTCCCCAGTGCTGTGTTCTACGCCACCGTGGGGCCTCTGGTGGTCTACTTTGCTATGCACCGTCTGATCATCAAACCATATCTCAGGGCTCAGAAAGAGAAGTGAGTTTAAAATATGTCATGGAAAAATCACTAAACAGCTCTGCCTCAGTTTCCTCATCTGTAAAATGGAGCTAAAAATAGAAGCTACCCCATACTGTTGTCAGGAAAACTAAATTAATTAATGCAGATACGTGCTTGGCATGGAGTCTAGCCCATAAGTGTTTAGTAAATGTTAAGCACTTAATAAAACTATTGATCATCATTAGTAGTGGTACTACTGTTGCCCTCTCATTCACAACCTTCCTACTTCCAGCTGGTTTAAAAATTGAGATTATAACATGACCACAAGAGATTAAAAAGTCTTTCTTTACCTGATTCTAACAATGTCTTTTCCTGGCACTGAATTCAAAGAGGAATGAGTTCTAAGTCCTTATGTAAGGGGCGTGTATTAAGTCATGACCACAAGAGATTAAAAAGTCTTCCTTTACCTGATTCTAACAAACAATTTCTTTTCCTGGCACTGAACTCAAAGAGGAATGAGTTCTAAGTTCTTATATAAGGGGCGTGTATTAAGTATTGTCGTGGAAGTCAGTGGAATGTAAATTATTTTGCAGTTTCTCATAGATAATCCGGTGGGGCATGACATTAAACTCTTAGCGAGGGCACTTCTACAGAAAACTGAGAGGTGGTTCAGATTTGTTACTTTATAATGATCTAACATGACAAAGCATTGTAATTAGACAGTCTAGGAGAATGGTATGATTCTTGTCTTCATAGCCTTTGAATGGCTATAGTGCAGGATCCTGATTCCTCTGGAGGCTTGAGGCCTAGAACAAAGAATGTAACGGGGTCATGTCCTTTGACAGGACGGGTATATGTGGACCCAGAGTCCCTGTGCTTTGCTAAAGGAAAATATTTTTATGTATCTAAAGTGGTATTAATTGTTCCCACCAAACATGGTATATAATAATCCAGGAAAGTTGGTAGAGTCTCCTGTTGAGTCTTGTCCTCTACTCAGACCTCCCACTTCCCTGAGATTCTTGCCAGGTGGAGTCTTTTTCCAAAGAGAGAACCATGGGCTTCAGGAAGCAGGGGAGAGCCATCTAGGAATAAAATGGTGCTGCGCAGCCCTGTGACTAACAGATTTGCTTGAGCTTGTTTTGGAAGTATTTGTGAAAGCTGTAGAACTAGAAACCCTCTCAGATCACAGACTGTTTGCTGGGCTCAGGGCCAGCGAGGGGGCTCTGTTGACTCACTGCTGTGTAACACCCGCTAACGTGTGGCTTGTGTTTCCCTTGCACAAGGGAGTTGGAAAAGCAAAGGGAAAGCACAGCCACGGACATTCTGCAAAAGAAACAAGAGGCGGAAGCTGCTGTAAGTGCTATATAAACGCCACCCCGGGAGTGCTTTGGATCCTCTGTCGTCTCTGAGTTTTCCTACTCCGCGAAGCAGACCAGAGAATGCAGTGATGGCTCCTCTTGCCCTGCCAGTCCCTATTTCCTAGACTGGGGCTGCGTGGAGAATGCTTCACACTCTGCATGTTGGTCTCAAGGATGTGGTCCCAGACTTCTGTCCCTATCCTAAAGGTTACATACACTAACCCTCAGAAGGCATAACAAGGTGCTTTTTAAAGCTGTGGGCATTGTCCTCTTTTTCTCTCCATTAAGTGGATCAATTACCTTTTACGGGTCTTATGGGAATGGTGCTGTCCTGGAGAAATGGCAGGGTACCTGTCAGTTCTTGGTAGACAAAAGGGCTGAGGTGCAGATGCGTACAGCACCTAGGCAGGTGACCCGAACCGTGGCACAGCCATGTGTGCGGCCTGGAGAGCCTATGCCCGTTGGAGGGACGGTGCAGCTCTGCCCAGCAGACTGGGGCCTGGGAGAACAGACCCTTTGACAACGTATTCAGTATTTTTTGACTGGATCAGTAAGGCCTGCCTGCCCCTTATGACCCCTCGGAAGGGAGCTGAGGTGCTGTCATTGCTCCCTCTGGGCTCACCGGAGCGGAGGTGAGGTGTGGGGGTTGTGCCATCACCAGAGCCGCTTACTCTAAGACTTGGTTCCAGGATGGGCTAGTTCCAGGGCTGAGCTCTCCAGGCCTCCTCCCGCCTTTCCTCACAGAATCCCGAGCAGGTGTGTGTCCTGGACAGAGGGCCTCAGGCTTTTCACTGTGTGCATCACACAGACCCCTTGTCTCTGGCCCTCTGGATAAAGAGACAGGGCCCAGCAAGGGCCCCAACAATGGTCATCCTTGTACTTTGGCAGGTTCGGTTGATGCAGGAATCTGTCCGAAGAATAATTGAGGCAGAAGAGTCCAGAATGGGTGAGAAGGCGGGTCCTCTCTCGGGATGGGGAGGGCGCTCGGGGTCTCACAGTAACCTGTAGCTCCTATAGCCAAGCTGAGTGGAGACATGCCGACTCTGGCCCTAACTAAGACCGTCCTTCAGGGCTCATCATCCTGAATGCCTGGTATGGGAAGTTTGTCAATGACAAGAGCAGGAAGAATGAGAAGGTCAAGGTGATTGATGTGACTGTTCCCCTGCAGTGCCTGGTGAAGGACTCCAAGCTCATCCTCACAGAAGCTTCCAAGGTACAGTGATGTCAGCCACAGCATGCCTTGTGATTAGGAGATTGGAAAAGGGATGATGGGCAGTTTAAAGAACAGATTCCGTCTGGCAAGGACAGCCTGGCCCCTTGAAATGGCTACCCACTTTGTTGCACTGGGGTCCTTCACGTGACCTGCACTGACTGCCTGGGGTGTTGTCCAGAACCCGAGTAATAGCAGCATTGGAACATTTCTTTCTTTCATTCAGTCAGCTAGTCAGCATGTATCTGCTGAGTGCCTACTATGTGCCAGGCCTTTTTTGGGTACAGCCACAAATGAAACAGACATCCTGAACATTCTATTTTTCACTTGCCTGGTTCCTGGAAGGTGTGGGGTCACTTGGAGGACATTTGTGACTCACTGCTGGAGGCCTGGGTGTGGGCTGTAAAGATGAATGAAAATGCAGGTTAACTCCCGAGGAGGTACACTAGTGTCTCTGCCTGGCTGGGCTTCTATGAGGATAGAGCTTTCTTTAGCCTGGGGGACGGGGCTTATATTGAGAGGGAAGTCTAGGGCTAAAGGTGCAACTTTTTGAAATTCTCATGTAGTTTCCTTCACGCTCTAAAGCTTGCATCTGTCATGAGCAGCTGCAGAGGGAAAAGTCAGGCCCCCTCCAAATGTACCTTAAGGCAGAAGCAGAAAGTGTCGTGACATGTTTTAAATGGCCGTCTCCTCAGTCTTTAGAATCACATTCTCTGTGTTCCAGTCCGGGCTGCCAGGGTTCTATGACCCGTGCGTGGGTGAGGAGAAGAATCTGAAAGTGCTCTACCAGTTCCGGGGTGTTCTGCATCAAGTGATGGCACTGGACAGCGAGGCCCTGAGGATACCAAAGCAGTGTGAGTGGCTGCCCCCTCGCAGGCCCACCTTGCTGCATGGACCAGGGTGGGGGCATCAGAGCAGCTGCCCAGCATGTGGGACACCAGCCACCTGTGCCCTCCTTTCCTACCCTCTAAGGAGCAGGGATGTCAGCTGGGCTTTGGTATTGTCAATTTGTGTGATCTGATGCTCTGACAAGGGGGCTTTGTACCCCTTAGGGGTGGATCTGAGTGAGCTTTTTCCTTGGAAACTGCAGCGTGGGTAGCTGGGAATAAAAGCCATGCTCCCCATGTTCTAGAACCCGTTGGCTCTTGGCAGCTGGTGTTCTGCTCAGCCAAGCCCCAGGCAGCGCTGTGTGGTCGCTGAGCCCCACAAGAAGAAAGAGGGAATGGGAACAGTTGCCTTTTGACACCAGGTGTTTTTTTTTTAACATTTTATTGTGTTTTAGTTGAAAGTTCACACAGCACATTAGTTTCACATTCAACAATTTATACAAAGTTTGTTCTGTGACATTGGTTGCTATCCCCACAATGTGTCAGCACTCTCCCCCTTTTCACCCTGCCTTCCCCATTTTCATCCCTCCAGTTTTCCTGCCCCTTCTTGTCTTCTCATCTTTGCTTTTGGGCAAATGTTGCCCATTTGGTTTTGTGTAGTTGATTTTTCTAAGGACCACATCCTTCACAGGTTTACCATTTATTTTATAGGCCAATCTGTTATTTGGACCTCTAGGAGTTGCTTCAGTTCCAGGTTAAAAGGGTGTTTTAGGGCAATAGTTTCACGGGTTCCTCCAGTCTCAATCACTCTAGTAAGTCTGGTCTTTTTTATGAATTTGAGTTTTGTTCTACATTTTTCTCCCATTCTAACCAGGACCTTCTGTTGTGTCCCTCGTCAGAGCAGTTGGTAGTGGTAACCAGGCACCATCTAGTTCTTCTGGTCTCAGGCTAGAGGAGACTGTGGTTCTTGTAGGCCAGTTAGTCTTTTGGACTAATTTCTTCCTTGAGTCTTTGGTTTCCTTTACTCTCGTTTGCTCTAGATAGGAAGAGACCAATAGTTGTATCTTAGATGGCCTCTCATAAGCTTTTAAGACCCCAGATGCTATACACTAAACTGGGATGTAGAACATTATGTTTATGAACTATGTTATGTCAGTTGAGCTAGATATCCCCTGAGACTATGGTCCTCAGCCTTCAAGCCTAGTAACTCAGTCCCATGAGGTATTTGGATATGTCTAGGAAGTTTCCCTAACTGTGCCCCCTGTGTACTCTATTTATACATGAATATACATACAGCACATACAAATATGTATATAGTTACAACTATACCCATATATGTACACACATGCACTCCCATATGCCCTTCCACATCTATATAGCATACATATCTACCTGTGTAACCACTCACAGATTTTAGGTTATTACTGTTGTTGCAGAATTGTATATGGTACAGTCATTACCATAGTTGTCCTTTATTCTTGTGTACCTCTCAGTGTCTTCGTTTGCCTTGGTCACACTGTGCCGACTTCCCCCATTTTGTTTATTGCCTTTCCCTTCACCAGAATTAACATGCGTCTGACATCCAGTAAGTGATTCTCCCTACCTCTCCCTTCCATCCCTGGTAACCATCAAATAATGTTGCTTTCTGTGGGTAAACCTGTTTTAACTTTTTATAAAAGTGGTATACAGTATTTGTGTTTTTGTGATTGACTTATTTCACTCAGCATAATGTCCTCTAGATTCATCCATGTTGTTTCACAGACTCATTCTTTATCACTGCATAGTATTCCATTGTTTGTACTTACCACAATTTGTTTATCCATTCATCCATTGATGGACACTTAGGTTGTTTCCTTCTTTTTCCAATTGTGAATAATGCTGCAGTGAACATGGGTGTGCATATGTCTATTCATGTCACTTTTATTTCTCTAGGATAAATAGGTAATAGTGGGATTGCTGGATCATATGGTATTTCTATTTCTAGCTTTTTGAGGAAGCGCCATACTGTTTTCCATAGTGGTTGTACCACTTTACAGTCCCACCAGCAGTGTATAAGAGTTCCAATCGCCCCACAACCTCACCAGCATTTGTTGTCTTGTTTTTTTGATCAGTGCCATTTTTGCTGGGGTGAGATGTTATCTCATTGTAGTTTTGATTTGCATCTCTCTAATGGCTAATCAAACACAGTATATGGAAACCCTGGTGGCTTAGTGGTTAAGAGTTCGGCTGCTAACCGAAAGGTCGGCAGTTTGAATCTACCAGGTGCTCCTTGGAAACCCTAAGGGGCAGCCCTACTCTGTTTATGGTCAGAATTGACTCAATGGCAATGGATTTTTTAATGGCTAATATGGAGCCCTGGTGGCGGCAGTGGTTAAAGTGCTCATCTGCTAACAAAAAAGGTTGGCAGTTCAAACCCAGTAGCCACTCTGCAGGAGAAAGATGTGGCAGTTGCTTCTGTACAGATTTACAGCCTTGGAAACCCTATAGGGCAGTTCTACTCTGTCCTATAGGATCACTATGAGTTGAAATTGACTCAATGGCAGTGGGTTGTTTTGGTTAGTGGCTAATGATAGTGAGCATCTCTTCATGTGTGTGTTAGCTACCTGAATGTCTTCTTTGGTGAAGTGTCCGTTCATGTCCTTTGCCCATTTTTTGACTGGATTGTTTGTCTTTTTGTTGTTGAGGTGTTGAAGTTTTCTATGTATTTTAGAGATTAGACCTTTGTCAGATATGTCACCAAAAATTTTTCCAGTCTGTAGGTTCTCTTTTTACTCTTTTGATGAGCATAAGTATTTAATTTTTAGGAGGTCCCAGTCATCTAGTTTATCTTCTGTTGTTTATGCATTTTTAGTTATGTTTGATAGTCTTATTTATGCCATAAATTAGGACTCCTAGCTTTGTCCCTATGTTATCGTCCAGGAACAGTATAGTTTTCGGTTTAACATTAAGGTCTTTGATCCATTTTAAATTAATTTTTGTGTATGGTGTGAGGTATGGATCCTGTTTCATTTTTCTACTAATAGATATCCAGTTTTGCCAGCATCATTTGTTAAAGAGACTATCTCTTCTTCATTGAATGGACTTCGTCACTTTGTCGAAGATCAGCTGTCCATAGCTGGATGAATTTACTTCTGGGTTCTCAGTTCTATTCCAATGGTCTATGTATCTGTCATTGTACCAGCACCAAGTCAAGTTTGTGTTTTCTCTTACAGCTCACAGGATTGATACAGATGGATAAACTGCTTGATAAACCAGATTAAAAAGAGGCTGCAAAAAATCTTGTCCTGGGAGTCTACAAATTTGGAAGCAGGGGAAAACCCAAACATCAGATGTTTTTATTTTATATTATTCCTATAGACAGTGGTACTGTGTCAATTATGTGCAGGGACATGCAGACACCCCAGCTCTCATGGGTGCTGTGGGAAGAGCTGAGGCAGCCCCACGTGGACCAGAACTGCTGCACAGCCTGTGTCTGTTGTCCCAAGGATCATGTTCCTGGAGGGAGGGACCCCCGGACTCCTCTGGTCCCCACCAGGCTCCTCAGCGTGCGTGCTGACTGCTGCCTGCCACCAGTAGTTCTCATTCTGTCTTCAGGTATTTATGGAGCATCACACCCTCAACGCTTAGGACCGTGAACTACTTTTTCTAAAAATCAAACTGAAAATGGAGGGCCAAATGGAAAGGAAGGAAGGAGTTTCCCACACTGAGGCCTCCAGGATCAAGTGAGCCTCTGCTTGGCCGGCTTGCTGAACACCACCTCTCTCTGTTGAAATGTCACTGAGTTAATCCGGAGAGCATTCTAGGATTATCATATGCTTTCTCTCTGAGAACATCTGGGTTTGGAAATTGGTCTCTTTCCTTCCACTCCCAGAGCGTCTCAGAGTGACCATTCCAGCTGCCCCTGGCCTAGGACAGCAGTGCAGCCCCCGGTCCCAGGGCCCACCCCTGTCCCGGTTCCCTTCCTTCCAGAAGTCACCCAAGTCCTCTAGTGGGAAAAGGCCCCAAGGCCAGCGGATGCGAGCAACACCTCTCCACCCACCACACAGCTAAGCGGGACCTGCCTGTGCCCACCCAGATCTACAATACAGGCTTGCAGTGGAGAGGCTCACAAGGAAAAGGAGGAGCATTGGATCACCGGGAGTTAAAGACAAGGGCTTCAGACATGTGCCAAATCCTGAGGAAGGAGAACACGAGGAAGGCTGGCTGGGTATGAGGGAGGTGTGGAGACCTGCTCCCTCCTACTGCACCTGTCCACGCTCAAGCACCCAGCAGATGGCACTGCTGCTCCCCACACGCCTCTCTGCAGCTGGCTCCTTGCCTTCTGGGGTGTGGCTCTGGTCCCAAGACCCTTTCTTCTCTTGCCTCTTCTACAGGCACAGCATTCTTTAGGAGCCAGGATGTCCCTATTCAGCCAGCTCTGTTAACTGACAGGAACAACTGCCCGCTGAGCTGGGGGCCTGTGTCCCAGCTGTAACTGGCAGGGTCCTTGTGCTCCTGGGAAAGCCCAGCTTCCTGGAATGACCAAGTCACAGGAGCACGAGGCTGCTGGGCAGTGGCCTGACTGCTGGTCTGGGCAGGTTGACTGGCCGCTCCCCTACAGCCACGGCTAAAATTCGGCTCCACTCCCCTGGCACTGGTCATTGCAAACAGTCATTGCAAACAATCCCTTTCCTCAAATTCTTAAACATAGTTCAGGTTGTATAATCTCCATTTAAAAAAACAAGTCTCCCTGACCTGAACTCTGAACGTGAATCGTGCAATAAACCTTGTGTTAAATGGATCTGTCTCTGGAAATAGCCCCGTGTGGCAGGTGGTTCTTCCAAGCACCTATTTTCTCCCTTTAGTTTGAAGTTGATTGTACAAAAGGCACTCTCGCACCATAATAAACCTTTCCAGAAAGCTGGGGATCGTACTTTGTCATGTTATCTGTGTGTTTTTTAGGAGTGAGCTCCCCCCACGCACCCAGCCCACTCCTACCCCTGCTGCCCCCCACTCTACCCCTAGGCTTCATTCCCATCCTTTTTCTGTGTTTGAACCACATTTTTAAACCATGAGGCTTAAGTTGAAGCTGTGGTTCAGTTTTCTACAGTCTGAGAAAGACAGTCCAAAGTTAGGAAATCATTTAGGCTAGAGTTTTTGTTAGTTTTCTGTTTAATGATGAAGTGAAGTCACGTTTTTTAAAAAAAATCAAAGGTAATCAAACTCTGTGTGCTCTTTTAACAGCGTACAGATTGCTACTTCCACAGAGTCTTCTGGTAGAAGAGAAAACCTCACATTCGTACTTAGTCGTTTTGAAATGGAGGACACACTGCAGTATAGTAAAACACTTTATTAACTGTTTGCTCAAACCAGGCTGGGAGAGGAGTCACCCCTTAGATCAGGAGGCCAGTCTTAGCCCCTTACTGTAGGGACACTGGCTGTCCGGGCTGACAGGACCCCACTCACTGCCGTGGAGTCAGCCCTCACCCCTCTTTGTCTGGGGGACTAGGAATGACCCCATGGGCCCAGTATATCCTGGGACCCCCCCCCACCCCCGCACCCCCACCCAGAGAAATGCATTCTCCGGAGAACAGTTCTCTCTTCCACGGCGGCAGTGGCTGTCACGCTGGCTCCGGACAGCTCCTTGTGCATGTGGTGCCCCCACTGCCTGCCCAGCTTGTGCAGAAAGTGTGGCCTTAAGTAAACCTGCCTCAGCGGGGACTGGGTGTCACTTGGGGACTAACTAGTCACACTCACGGTTCCCTCCCTCTCCTCACCTGATGCCTCCTATAAACGCTTCACATCACGATGTTTGGGATTTTCTTCACCAGGTAGGTTTTGCCATCCTCTCGTTACCACTTTGCAAGTGTTGGCAGCAGACTGAAATGTCAACAGCAAGATCCAGAGAGCACCACCAGGCCCTGGGTGCTAGGCTGCCACCACCCCCAGCACCCTGGGTGGCCTGGAGCCTCGGAGACAAAGCTGGCTGCTTGCTCAGCTCTGCTGCTCGGGCCGCACATGAGCCTGGGGTTTGCGCCGCCCCTCTCTGTGAGCACTCAGGCGGCGGCACATCCTCTGCATCTCCAGCCTCTGGGCCCTCAAGCGCTTCCGGAGCTTTTCATTTTCCTTCAGGGTGAGGAAGAGTTTTTTTTTAAGGGCATCCAAGTCCAAAAGGGCATAGCTGTGATCAGACGGCTGCTTGGGCAAGGGCTGCCTTGGCCTCATGGGGCTGGCTGGCCGGTCAGGGGCCTCTGCTGCTTCCAGCCTATATGGCAAGACCTGAGGACAGAGGCAGGTGAGAGAAGGAGCTGCCAGAGGCAGAAAATCAGGGCGCTCAGGCCCTGCCAGCACAGAAGGGGCAGTGGGGTCCCTGGTGGAAGCATGTCACCAGACTCAGCCAGCAATCAGCACCTGGCTGTACAACTCATTTTCCAAGGCTCTCCTGAGGTCCAAGGCAGGGCAGATCGTGGTCACACAGCCAACCCTTTACTGGGAAGGTCTAACTGAGGTACACACCGTGCTCTTCATGGCCTCTGTGGTGTGGGGGGGAGCCTCTGTGGGGACCCACTTTTAGGGGAAGCAAATCATCTCACGTTGAGACCCACCCACCACATGGTGCCTTCTCACCCAACCCACAAGGTGGGCCCAGCTTCTTACCTACCTCTTTCCCAGGGTCTTCAGCATCTGGGGGCAACTGAAGCTCATCCAGGGTTGTGTCCATGCTTCTCCCTGTGCCATCTGCCCCCACCACTGGCAGGATCTGAGGAGCAGGGCAGAGTCAGGCCCGGCTGCCGGAGACACCAAAGTCTCCACAGCTGTAACTCACTTGCTGTCCCAGGCACGTCTCGCCCTTTCTCAGGGAGTAGCAAGAACCAAGGACCAGCCACATGGTTTGTGCAATGACACAAACCACCAGCCACTTCCTCCCACAGGCTCTAGAAACAGCCTTGAGAAATGAGTCCCAACCCAGACCTGAAACCAATGGAGACTGTTTGATAGCAGCCAGAAAGAAGCAAGCACAAGCACAAGAGGCTTGCCTTCCCTTTTCCCGGCAAGTAGGGGTCCAACACCCAAGTGTATGAGGAAAGCACAGCACACCCTGACAGGCTGCCTTGCTGCTGCCCGTCTCCACCTCAGAACAGCACTGCTCAGACTCTCTGGTGGTGGCTCAGTGCAGACGCACCTTTTCTTTCTGAGAGTCGGTGTTTCCTCTCACTCCGGCAGGGTCTGTGTTCTCCCTAACCAGCTGCAAGAGATACAAATGAGAACAGTGTAGCAGATGGTACAGCAGGGTGCTGCACCCTGAGGTCCCCTATGGCCAGGACCTGGGCCTCCTCTGTCTTCATCCCACTGCTCAGCTGAGACCTAACACAACAGAAAATTGGTTATTAACTATGACCTAAGCTCTACCTCTCATTGCCCACTCAGATTCTGCTCTTCCTCCAAAGATGCTCCCAAGTCTTGGGTCACAGACCCATGAGTAGGTTCTCTGAAGCCAGGACCCTCCCTAATTCGTATGTGTCATCCTAGGGCCTGGCATTCTGCCCGGCATGTACCAAGTGATTCATTAAACGTGTTCAGTGCCTGACCACCACGTAGTAGAGAACGTACTCAGAATCGGCAGTCCCCAGGATGGCCTTCATGATTCATGAAATGTAATATAACCCACTCTCCTGGCTTCAATTTCCAAGTGTTCATGATCTCTCTCCTGAGCCAGACCTGCACATCCCACCCCTCCAAGACATGGAAATGTCTCAAGGTGCACAAGACCACACTCCTCGGTGCGGCCCGTCTCAGCAACGAGGAAACCACACTCTCCAGGTGCTCAGTGAGCGCTGTTCTCCCTCTCCCACCACCATCCACTCACCTGCTACATTCACTTCTCTGCCCTGCACCCCACCTGCCACTCAGACTGCCAAGGCTGCCCTCCCCTGGGATGCTCAGTGGCCTCCAAACCAGCTTTCCACTGGTTGTTGTCCACCTGCAGCCACAGGGACCCTTCCAAAGCCACATCTCACGCCACTGGCCTCACCCTGAAACCCTATCGCTTGCCCAAGCCTATCAATGCCTGGCCCCTGCTCATCTCTCCGGCTTCCTGTGACCTTCCCACCAGCCTAAATGGATACTGTTCCCAAACATGCCCAGATCTCTCCCACCTCCAAGGCTCTGCCTATACTGTTCCCAGGCCTGACCTGTCACCCTCCCTCCACCACTCCACCTGCGATGTCCTGTCCTCCTGCCAAAGCTGCCTGGCCTTCCACACTACTGCCCTTTCTTTTGTTCTCCACTGTGTCCCAGCACCTGGCCCACAGGAGGGCCTTCTGGACACTTGCTAACCAGCAGTGGGACATAGCCTCTAGCTGCTGGACCACACACTCGCCAAGCCCTGGCTGGCTACTAGGGAAAAGTGGACTGGGTCTGAACACAACACAGTCTTCACTATGCGGTAGATATGATGTAATCACCAGTGTCTGACCCGCCAATTTTGCAACCACGTGAATCAGGAGAAGCCTCCAGCCTGACGCCTGAGCCACGGATTTGGGACTTGCCAGTCTCCACAACTGCATGAGCCATTTCCTTGAGATAAATCTGTGTGTATGTATGTGTGTCTGTGTGTGTATATACACACTGATATATATATGTGTATATATATATGTATATATATACACATATATATGTAATATATATAATAGAGAACATAGCCTAAGACATTTGGTACCAAGAATGGTTCTAGAGGAACAACATCATAAGGATGCATCTTCTGAATTGGCTCTGAAGTCTGGCTAGCCTTAAAGGCACTGATGGCTCTGCCTCCAGCAGTAAAGAGGGCACAGCTAATTTATGGCGTCAGATGGCAATAGAAATACACAAAATATCACCACCAATGGATCAAATATTTGTGAGGGACAAGGCTCTGGATGACTGCATTTTTGATAATTTTCCACAATTTTGTAAGAATGAGAGGTATAAGGAAGCTGGTTGGTTGGTCCTGCTTTCACTAGACAAAGTGGTGAAAGAGATGAGCTCAAAGCTTCAGTCACTGCTCAAGTGCCACATAAAAGACCTGAAAGTTGCCATTTGTGCCCCAAAAGAAAGCTTCATTTCTTGTAGTAACAGAGCTGATACTGGCAAAAACCAAACCCAGAGTCTTATCGTTAAGAGTGTATGAACTACAACATCAACTGAATTCCCAACCTTGAATGGTGTTTGAAGTTAAAGTAAGGTCACTGATTGGGAAGAAATGGGGTCCTGAAACTTGGGATGGGAATCTAATAGTTTATTTGGTTGGTTTACTGAAGCATGGATTAAGCGGTGACCTACACTAAATCAAGATGAAAAGCCAGACCTGCCTTGGTATACTGTAGAAGAAGGTATCCAAAAGCTTAGGGAAACTGGTATGCTATAGTGGATTTGTCAGGATGGACCCACAGACCCACCCATGGAGTGCCCAGAGGACACACCTTTTACCACAATGGCAAGGAACAAATTTATGAAGAGAACCCCAGCATCTCTGAAGACTGCTGTGATTGCTATTTTACATGTCAGATTTGACTGTGGGAACTGCTCTAACTGAATTAAGACACCTAACTACAATGGGTATGACTGGACCCTGTGGTGGTAGGTGCCAAGTGGTAGCATTTAATCAACAAAGACAAGGTGGGCGTGGTAACCATAATGGACAATAGAGGCAAAGCAGTAATCAGAACAGTCTGACTTGTATGGACGTGTGGCATTGGCTGCTTACTCACGATGTCCCTAGGAGTGAAACAGATGAGAAATCTAGTAAACAGTTACTTGATCTGTAAAGCAGAAGAATTTTAGGTCAAGTGAAAAGGGAGTCTAACTTGAATTGCCAGAATAGACAGTCACTGCCCCTCAATCAATTTCCAGACTTGAGCCAGTTTACAGACCCACAACCCCTTCAGTGAAGGGGAGGCTAGGTCCCCTTAAGGAAGTACCCAACTATACTGTTAATCTTTTTCCCAGCCTTCCCCAAAGGGATCTGCAGCCTTTTATGAGAGTGACTGTTCACTGGGGAAAAGGAAATAATCAGACTTTTCAGGGATTACTGGATACTGGCTGTGAACTGATACTAATTCCAGGAGACCCAAAATGTCACTGTGGCCCACCAGTCAGAGTAGGGGCATAGAGAGGTCAGGTTATTAATGGAGTCTTAACTCAGGTCCATTTCACAGTGGGTCCAGTGGCTCCCTGAACCCATCCTATAGTGAGTCTACCAGTTACAGAATGCATAATTGGAACAGCCATACTCAGCAACTGGCAGAATCACACTAGATCCCTGGCGTGTGAAGTAAGGGCTATTATAGTAGGAAAAGTCAAGTAGAAGCCATTAGAACTGACCCTACCTAGGAAAATAGTAAACCAAAAGCAATACCGCATTCCTGGAGGGATTACAGAGATTACTGCCACCATCAAGGACTTGAAGGATGCAGGGGTGGTGATTCCCACCAAATCCTCATTCAACTCGTCTATCTGGCCTGTGCAAAAAACAGATGGCTCTTGGAGAATAACACTGGATTATCATAAGCTTAACCTGGTGGTGGCTCCAATTGCAGCTGCTGTTCCAGATGTGGTTTCATTGCTTGAGCAAATTAATACATCTCCTAGTACCTGGTATGCAGCTATTGATCTGGCTAATGCCTTTTTCTCCATACCTGTTTCAAAGGACTACCAGAAGCAGTCTGCCTTCAGCTGGCAAGGCCAGCAATATACCTTCACTGTCCTACCTAAGCGGTATATCAACTCTCCAACCTTATGTCATAATTTAGTCTGCTGGAATCTTGATCACCTTTTCCTTCCACAAGATGTCACACTAGTCCATTACATCAATGACATTATGCTGACTGGACCTAGTAAGGAAGAAGTATCAATGACTCTAGACTTATTGTTAAGACATTTGCATGCTAGAGGGTGGTAAATTAACCCAACAAAAATTCAGGCACCTTCCACCTCAGTGAAATTTACAGGGGTCCCACTGGTGTGGGACATGTCGAGATACTCCTTTTAAAGTGAAAGATAAGCTGTAGCATCTAGCCCTTCCTACAACTAAAAAGGAGGCACAACACCTGGTGAACCTCTTTGGATTTTGGAGGCAACATATCCCTAATTTAGGTGTGCTACTCCTGCCTATTTATCAAGTGACTCACAAAGCTGCTAGTTTTGAGTGGAGCCCAGAACAAGAGATAAATAAACACACACACGTATGTATATATATCTTTGTTTTCTTCCTTCTCTTATTCCATTACTTTTTATAAAATGTAAGATGTAAAAGGGGCTAGTAGGTTTTTGGTTATACTCATGTTAGTTGTATCATGTTAGGTATACGTATGACTTATAATTGTATTTAGAGATTATGTATGGTTTAAGAAGATGTGTACAGGTGCCAAATTGACAAGGGGTGGAATGTGATGGTTAAGGTTATGTGTCAAATTGACTAGGCCATGATTCTCAGTGGTTCCACAGATATGATGTAATCACTGTCCATGATGTGATCTGTTGTGAGTAGTCAATCAGTTGAAAGGGGAATTTCCTTGGGGGTGTGGCCTGCATCCAATATATATGGATGTTCTGGCAAAACTAGCCCTCTCTCGATCCTTCATCCAACTTGTCATCCTCTGACCTCTGGTTTTTAGGACATGAGCCAGCACCTGCTGTCTGACCTATAGATTTTGGGATTCACCAGCTCCTGCAGCCCTGAGCCAGCAGCCTGCTGTCTGACCTGCTGATTTTGGGTTCATCAGCACCTGCAACCAGGTGAGTCAGGAGAAGCCCCCAGCCTGACACCTGACACACAGATTTGGGACTTGCCAGCCTCCACAACTGCGTGAGCCATTTCCATGAAATAAATCTCTCTGTATATATACTTATATATATACACTTCACTGGTTTTGCTCCTCTAGAGAACCTAGCCTAAGACAAGCCTCTAGGAGACCCAGCAAAAGTAAATGCATCAAGGAATAAGCTCTTGGAGAATTCACCAGTCAGCTTCTTCAGCAGCAGCCTATTGTGAAGCATGAATTTATTTTAAAAGTGGCTTTATTACAACTCCCCTTAAAGCACAGATCATACCCAGTGAGGCTTGGAGTCCTGGAGCTTGGCTAATGCTGCTCTCACTGTAGTTCTTGGCCTTCACTATCCCTGAAAATGCCGTCCCCTTCCCCGCCACCCCCAGTGCTGGGTGAATCCATACATGCTCACTCTGAGGAGATGAACTGGTTCTGAGGAGATTAACCGAGTGGGGGTTCCTACCTGCGTAGGGTCCTGGAAGGCAAACACTGTGGGCACAGCATTGTGCTTCAGGTTTTTGCGGTTTCCAAAGGCACTGAAGCACTCAGGTCGGAAGTGCTCGGAGCAGATGACAGTGTGCTGCTTGGGCTTGAAGTTGCCCCGGCCAATGTTCAGCACCCATTCCTTTAGCAGTTCCGGACGGCTAAACGGGAACCTGAGAGGCAGAGAAAGGAGATGGCAGAGCATTAACAACGCTGAATTTTCACATTATCACAGAGCATTTTATTGGACTACTTTGAAAATTCAGCAACCTCACTTTGTTCAGCCCCACTGCGGTGTGATGGATCACTTTTGTGTGGCCTTTCTAGTGCTAGTCTTGTAACTCCCAGCCAGGTGATTGGGTGGGACTGTACAGATAGGGTAACTGTAGCCCACCAAAGGGACTGGCCGGTTTTGCCATTCTGCTGGGCTTGAAATGAGCCACTCCACCAAGAAAGAACAGCCAGGAGCTAGTGTGTCCTTTGGACCCAGGATCCCTGCGCTGAGAAGCTCCTAGAACCAGGAAAGAGAGAGAGAGAAAAAGCTCAAAAAGCAGCAGCAGAGAACCAGCAGTGGGTTTCCTGGCTTACAGAGCAAGAAAGTTGAGTGCCTCTGGGCAGAGGCCTACAGCCAGAGAGAGGCATGCCTGCAAGCACTTGCTGGGAAGAGGCTGTCCTGATGAGAAAACTGCTTCTTTGAGTGTTCTTGAGCCTGAATTGTAATCTGTCACTTTCCTAATAAACCCCATAACCATGAGTATGGTCTGTGAGTTCTGTGTGGCCACGGCAATGAATTATCGAACCCAGCAGAGAAGTAGAGTGCTGTGGGAGGCACAGTTGGTGTCAGAATTGGTAAAGATGGCAGAGAGAGGAGGTATATCTGACCTCCACCTCATAGAAATCAGCCTTGGGCTGTTGATCTTGACTCTCCTTCCCCCTTGTGAAGTTACAGGAGGTCAGACAATGCCCCCAGGCCATTTTTACACCCATCTAATTCCTGGAGGCTATGGCCTTAGTGGCATCCCTAGAAGAAAACCTGTGACCAGGAACATGGCCAAGAGCCCAAGAGAACAGTGTTTCCAAAGTGACGTTTGCAGGTTGGCCTTCACCCACTCGTTCAAGAGCCTGCTGTGTTGGGCCCTGAGTGTGCTGCTGGGGATTTGGGAGTGAGCAAGACAAAGCCCCTGCCCTAATGGAGCCTCCTTTCTAGAAAGGGAAGACAGACACTAGACCACAGAGATGTGGACTGTGCCAGATGGTGGTAAGTGCCAGGAAGCACCAGGTGGTCAGGGAAGGCCACTGTGAAGAGGACATTTGGGCAGAGACTGAGGGCAGTGGGGGGTGTGCCAGCAGAGCAAAGGCGCTGCACCAAGAGCATGCCCAGTGTGACAAGGAGCCATCAGGAGGAGGAGGCTGGGGCAGAAGGAGCACAATCAGGGCTAGGAGACAGGTGAGAGAGGGATGGGAGCAGAAGATGCAGGGCCTCGGGGAGAGGGGGGTTTTGGACCTGAGTCCACGCTGGCTGCTGGCGGGCACCCAGAACCAGAGGTTCAGCACTGGAGGTAGGAATCAGAGGACAAGTCTCATAGGGGAAGTTTTGAAAGCAGGGAAATAAGTTTGCTGATGGACTGTCTGCAGGCTGTGAAAGAGACGTCAAAGAGGAACTGGAGGGAAGGAGTTTCATGTAGTGAGACAGGAGAGGCTGTAAGATGGGCTGGTTTCTTCTTGTGTATTAGATGCTAAATTTGAGGGTTTTTTTAGATGTCCGAGTGCTGAAGCTGAATGGGCAGGTGGACACGTGTGTCTGGAGACACCAACGTGGGGGCCGTCCCTGCATCAACAGTGGTAGGGCCATAGCCTGGGTGTCACTGCTGTCCTGGGAAGCGAGTTTGGACGGGGATGATTACAGGGCCATGGCCCATGCCCCAAAGCACTCCAAGGTTTAGCATTAGAAATGAGGAAGATCCTGCAAAGGACACTGAGCAGGAACACCTGTGACAGAGGAAGAGGCCAAGAGTGGTGTCCTTGCCGCCAAGTGGAGAGTTTTCAAAGGGTCAGTGATCAGTTGTGTCAAATGCTACAGAGGTCAATGAAGGTGAGGACTGAGGACTGATCACTGGATTTGGCAACATAAGGTCACCGATGATCCTGACAGAGCCAGTATATGGGAGCAGTAGGGGCAAGAGTCTGACTAGAATGGGTTCAAGAGAATTGGAGGCAATTCTACTCCCAAGTATATACCCAACTGAATGTACAGATGCAGCACCAGAAGACAGGACCGAGCAAAGTGTCCATAGCAGCAGATTTGTAATGGCCAAAAAACGGAGGCCACCCAAAAGCCCATCAACTGTAGAACACAAACCAATTCTGGTCTAGACATTCACTGGAACACTATCCAGCAATGAAAATGAATGACCTACTGCTGCATGCAACAAGATGATTCACAAACATAGGTGAGCAAAAGCAGACAGACAGGAAAGAGGACGCACTGTGTGACTGCAGTTATGTGAAGTTCAAAACAGGCACGACAAATCTACTCAGCAGGACACAGGTTACTTGTGGGGGAGGAGGCAGGAGAACTAGCGCTTTCAGGGGGCACAGCCTGGGGGTTCTCCTGGGGGCATCACACAGGTGTATTCACCTTGTGAACATTCACCAGGCTGTGTCCTCGTGATGTGTGCACTTTTCTGTATGTATGGTATACTCCAATGAAAACATTTGTTTTAAAAAGGTGATAATGGGAGGAGAGTAAGTGGAGGCAGTGAGTACAAGCAGCCCTTTGAGTTGTGCTCTGAAGGGGACAGAGAAATGGTGTGGGGCTGGACCCTTGTAGAAAGTGTGCAAACACCCAATCCACACCAGGGGATGGGCTCTCCAGGACGTGACCCATTCACTCAGCCCAGGACCACACTACCAAGTGGTCTTGGGAGTGTACAACAGACTCCAAAATCCCCACCGTGCTTCCTGACCCCCCACAAAGTCCCTACCCCCTCGCTGCCCCCACTCTCCTGACACATCCAGCCAGTTCTCAGTCCTCCATCCCACTCATCCTTCACAAAAGAATGCATGGAGAGGGCCTAGCCAAGTGTCCAGTACATAGCAAGACCTGACCAACCATTACTCATTCATTCATTCAGCAAATGCATACCGAACACCTACTATTTTCTAGGCCACAGCTGTGAACCGGACAAGTCTCTGTGACATGGAGGGACATGTTGGGTGGGGGGAAACCGACGGCCAATAAACCCAGAAAATAAGCTCAGAGGGTGCTACTAGCAGGAAGAAAATTAAAGAGGATCGCTAGATAAGCAGTGCTTGGGGGACGGGGGAGCTGAGATCTGAACGCTATTGTCCAAGGACCAGCGCTGGTCCTTTCCTCTCCAGGAATCTCACTCCGAGTAGCCAGTCTTTCCAAGAGGCTGTGCGGCTGCGGGCAGATTACTTAACCTCTCTGTGTCCGTTTCCTCATCTCACCGCCGGCCAGGGCCAGGCGGCGCTGGTCCTCCCGCGCAGACGGCCCGTGACCCCGGCCTGTCCCTTGGGCCACCCTGGCCCCTTACACAGGGCACAACCAGGTGACCCGTCCGGCCCGGGCCTCCCCGGCTGGACGGGCAGCGGCCCTGGCGTTTCCACCCGGCGCTCCGAGGCCTCCCGGTCGGCCTGGAGGAAGCAAGCCGGGCAGCCGGTGCCCACGGACCCGGGCCCAGAACCCCGCGCCCCCAGCTCCCGCCTCTCACCGGTGGAATGTGAGCTGCTTCCTGCGGTTGCTGTAGCGGTTGCAGCACTGCCGGGCCGCGCACGATTTCGGCATCTCGGGACACCAGGCCCGGCTGCCCCTAACAAAGATGGCGGCACCAAGCGTGAGGGGCGCGGCGAACCTGAAGGGCGGAGCCAGCGCGGGAAGCGGGAGGTGACAGGGTGGGGCCAGCGGGCAGGGTGGACGAACGCAACCCACAGGGAGCGTGGCCAGAGCGGGTGGTGTGCGTAGCCGGGGGCGGGGTTTGTGGGCGGGCCCAGAGCGTCCTATGGGACGGGGCGGGGCGGGGCCTGTCGGGGGGGCGGGCCCAGAGCGGCCTGCGGCTCCGCGGGGAGGTGAGGACCCTGTCTCGACTCTGAGGCCCCTTCCCGCGGTGTTACCTGGACCCCCGTCGCCCCAGAGTCGGGTGAGCCCCAGGGCCCCACGTCAAGCGGTGCTACCGCCCCCAGCCTAACCAGAAAGGACAGGCCCACAACCCCCAAAACAGAGACCTGGAGCAAGTCCCACCTTCCCCTCCTAGCATTGGGAGCGCCAAGGCTCACACTCAGTTAAGTCTTGAACAACTGGAAACCAGAAAAAGGCACAACGTCTAACGTAGCCAGCATTTTCAGGATTCTAAGAGGTGTTAATAAGTAGATGTTTTGGCTCCTCACATGTCAGTGGGGGAAGTACAGGTTGGTGACTAGTTAGTCCCAGGCTGGAAGATGGCAAACACAGCTCAATACAAAGCAGGCTCAGGCATTGAGTCACAAGCTGGGGACCCGGAACCCAAACCGAAGAGGAACAAAATGAGTGACCAAGGGTAAACATGCTAGCCCTCGGTTTGCAGAGCCTCGGAAGAGGCTGCAGCTTCTACAAAGCATGCTTACAACTCCCTGTAGTTTAAACGAATCCAGTTCGAGGGGGAAATTGTGAACACTATTCATTTCTCCTCATACTGTGACTTTATTTCTATAGAATTCATTAGAATAGTATATTAAGGGCTGTGGGCATTTTTCAGCCTGCTAAATGAAGCTCAGACTTGAACTTCCTGCTAGTCTTCAAGCAATCAAGATTTTGGGGTGGGATGGAGGGCGGGAGAAATACTCCTTCAGTACATAACACAAACACCTCAATCTAGACATGAACCTCAAAGTAGCAATATATTTATTTACAAAATATACAGTTTCACAGAAACAGCTTGGCTTTATACACATAAACTTTATAATTACACAGAACCATGTAAACGATGTTAAGTGTGTTGCCCGGCCAAGGCCAATAGGAGGGGCCTACTTTTAGGGCCCACCTCTCCCTCCCTTCACATCATTCCCCACCAACCAGGAGCCCTAGATGGGCCGTTCCAAATTTGCATAAAGAAGCTGATTGCAGCTGCCCAGCTTAATCTAACACAAAAACCGAGGTGTCTGACTTCTTAGACACCACCCGCAGGGACAGATCTGTTAAAAAAACAAAAGGAAATCAAGGAAACAAAAATTGAGACACACAGAGCCTCTGCGAAATGCCTTTCAGAGAGGCATCTCCAGGCACTGAACCTTCCTTCTTGTGCATTTAACAACTTTCAGTGGTGACACTTCATCCTGAAATCATGCAAATTCTTAAATGCACTTTTAAAACTGTGGAGTAAAAAAAAGAAAAACATTTTGGAACTTTGGTTATTCTCATGGTGAAGACGATGGACGGACCATGTCATTGGGCAGATCTTTGGCAAATTCCTCTCCACCATGTCCTGGCCGTCTGCCCTAGTCAGTCACACAGCCCTAGTCAGTCACACAGCTGTCTGAGGTGAAGTTTGTCTCGAAACCAGTTTTGACTGTTTTCCCCCACAGCAGAACTTCTCCCTTGGGGACTGTCGCAATAAACTGGGTTTCAGAAACTATTTCTACTTTTGTGTATAAGCAACAGAATTTTTAAAAAGACGACGGCTTGGACGAGCGTGAAAGAGACTAGGACAAAAACTGGGCTCTAATGAGTCACATTAGGGTTCAACCACCTGGGTGCTTCTTTGAGAGAACATGGAGGGGTCTCCTGGTAGACCTGCCTGGGGCACCTGCCGCAAGGACGGGAAGCAGCCACCAGGGAGACTGGAGGCCCATCCTGGCTGCAAATAAATATGACCAACGTGGACTTTCTTCCTTTTTGTGCCTAACAGGAAACAATACTATGAGAACACACCCACCAATTTACAAAAAACATTTTGAGAACAAGTATTTGAACTGCTGAGAACAAGGTCAATGACGGAAAAAGCTGGAACCCCTTCTCACTCTGAGCCCAGAACCCCCAGGGTTCAGGTGCACTACCCTCCTCCGCAGGGCTCCAGGAACAAGCTCCCTGGCTTCCCCACAGCTGACTCACACAGGGGCCTCCCTAATCCAGGATCCTGGTTTGACCTAAGGAACTCTGTGCAGTTCAGTGGAAGATTCCTGAGGGAGGGCCAATGGCATCATATCACTCACCAATTCAAACCAAAAACAGGATCCAAGTCCTAACCTTGCCCCATGGAACCAGCAGGCCCAGCCTGGATGAAGGGCATCCTAAAAACTACCCACAGGAGAGGTCTCTCCTCCGTCTTTCTTTACCCCATTACTTAGAGGAACACACGAATGTCCCAGTGATTGCCTTGCCTTCATGCTGCCATTGGAATAAGGTGAGGGGAAGAGATGATGAGGAGAGAACTTAACTGCTCTCACGCTTGAAAACAGCTTGCCTGGGCCCCGCCAGTACCTCAAACACGAACCGGAGAAAAAGGGCACCTAGCAAGAACTCGGCCAACACTATTGGCTGTATCGTGCAATAAGGACAGGTTTTTTACATCGTGCAAAATAGGAAACTGCGTTATGAACACAGGCCACCTCAACCCCCCAACCAACCCCCTTTCCACAGAAAAGTGGCCACATACTGTCCCTTTTAACAAACAGGAAAAAACCCAGGAATCATTAGTTAGCCCGCCACCCCAGGGGTCCTCACAGCAAGACCAGAGGACTTGGGCTAGCAAACCCTGTGGTGGTTGAGGCAGGGAGAGAGGGTGGACCACCAGGGAAAGGGTCTTTTATGGTTGCTGTACAGACACTTATGGTAAAAGACTCACACTCAAGAAAAAGCTTACACATATGGCTGTTCACATAACAGGCCGGGGAAACTGAAGACCTCTTCTCCCCAACAAAGCAGAAGCAGGAAATAACAGCTAGCACTTGTTCCAATCGGCAGGAATTTGTTAACAATGATATCAAAAGTTCACAACACCATGTACCCTCATTTTCCGCTGACCCAAACCCCACTGAGCCTGGGTGTTCAGTCTACCTCCACTGCAGAGAACACAGCTCTAGCAGCAGCTTTGGCCAACGAAGATTTTATTCGGTCACTGGCTATGTACAATTTAGACCTTGAACAACCTGACCTTTGCTTAGGCACCTGGATGGCAGAGGTCTGCCTGCACCAGAGCTGAAAGTTCTGTGCTCAACTAAGAAAGGGGCCAGAAAGCCCACAGTCCCTTCCAATTCCTCGCCCAGTCTCCTCACGCGCCAGCAGTCAGTCCAGAAACAGCTTCCGGGAGCCCATTCGGGAACGGTTGGAACGGCGGATGTCAAACTTGGAGTCCCGGCACTTTTGGCAGACAAACACTTCCGGAACGTTGGATTTCCGGATTTTCGCACAGGACAAGTGGATCCAGGTGTGGCACTCGTTACACTCGATCATGGGGCGGCCGGCAAATGGCTTCATGCAGAAGCAAGTGACGAGGTCCCAGGAATCATCATCTGAAAAGCAAGGGAGACATAAGAGGGGGAACAAAAACTCTTTCTAGTCCATCTCCATCAGGAAAGCTACCTGTCCAATGGGACAGAGCATCTGAGCTGCCAGGAGACCTGTTACTCCACAGATAAAAACTATTTCAACCTTCATTCAGTGGTGACACTTTCTCTCGCTGAAAATGCAGTAAATGCACAACAAACGGCAATGAGTTGTCTGGTAACCAGGAATTACCAATGACATGTTTATTTATGAGCTATGCTATTTTTACATCCTGAGATTTCTCTTGGCATCTCAGCTGTCTCTGTGATCAACCCGTTCCTAAGCGTCCTGGTATTCCTCCCATTCCTGCCCTTCTCCCTGGAGATGGCGGGATACGCTCTGCCATCACACCCACGAACAGACAGGGCCTTCTACAGGATCCCCAGGGCTCCTGGTGCATCTACCCACGCCTCGAAGAGACGACTCTGAGACTCCTTTCTAAAGTAGCCCCTCTCCTACCCACCAACCAGTAAGCATCTCCATCACCCAGGGCCCACTCACCCGAATCCACCATGATGTCCTCATCATTGCCAGTGCTGTCCTCGTCCCGGAACACCACCTGCTTTCCCTGCCGGATGATAGTCCGTTTGCCTTCAGTCTTTATTTCTTTGACCTGATCGGGTGACACTGTAGCACAAGAGCCACTCGAGGGTGTGTCGGAGTCCCAGCCCGAGCTAGGGTCGCTGGGGGCCTGGGGGATATCCTGAAGGGTGGGGCTCGTGGGGGTCTCTACGTATGGGTCGGCAGCTTCCAGCTTCAGCAAGCTCCCCATGTATCCCTCTTTGACAGGCACATCACTATCCCTCCGCTTCCTCTTCTTCTTCTTCTTCAGCTTGTCAGTTTTCTTTCTATCCAGGAGGAAGTTACTGGGCTTGGCCCGCTGTAAGAGGGTGGGCTGCAGGTGGCTAAAGCAGCGGTCAGAGACAGGCAGGGGCATGGAGGACGCAATGTCGGGGAATGATGCGTCCCAGCCATCGCTGTCAATGGTGCCAGCGGTACTGTTGGCAGGGCTGGGGCTGCTCCGCAAAGGCAGCTCCTGAAAGGACAGAGGCAGAGGGCCGGGGGTTCCGGTTATTCTGACCAGCCCCCTGAGACACAGCCAGCCCTAAGCCCAGCTTCCAGCCCACCCCCACCCAGGTGGGGGCTTCCAGTGGTGAGCTCTCCAACCCTAAACTTCTCAGCTCTCATTAGCATTATAATTGAGAGGCAGTGTCAAGCAGTAGTTTATTGAGCCTTTCCAGGGAGAACAGGAGCCCCCAGGGGACAAACTGCCATCAATGAACCCTTAGCCCCAGTCGAACTTATAGAAAGCAGTGACTGGTGGGTTCTAACCACTGACCTTTTGGTTAGCAAGCCGAGCGCTTAACCACTGTACCACCACGGCTCCTTTAATAAAGCACCTAAGTGTTTTATTCAATAATTATCTACGGAAACGCACAGAGAACACCTCGCACCCTCTCATCTTTCTCTGATGGTAAAATCTTTCCTTCCACTTGTCCTCCCAAGAGATATGTCTTTTAATTATGTGAACTTAAATTAGTTTCAAGAATTTCTTGACACTTTTTAAAAAACTGGAGACATCCCAGAATATTAAAAATTCAAGGTAGGTAATTACTGCCCCAAAGCTGTGAGCTGAACTTGGTGCTTACTGCAGACCATTCAAGCATGTTATTTGCAAATAGTGGCAACATTCTGCTAGGTACAAAGCAAGCATTATCCACCTATGTAACAAGTGGAAACTATAAACCAATGCTGGGATTTTGCCTCCTAGAAATACTGAGTTTTCTTCTTAGCCTTGCACAATAAGAAGGAGGCCTCTGAATTTGAACAACATGGCAGTCTGGTCCACTATCCTGTTCATTTCTCAACAAAGAAAAAGTCCCTTAAGTGGAGAGCCTGTTCAAATGGGATTTTGGCCGTGAGTCCCTGACGACTCTTTTTGATGTGGCTTGCACAGCAACCAGAATACTGAGCAAGAGGCAGGGCAGTGTGCACCCAGAGCCAGACTGTCTGGTTGAATCTCAAGCTTCACTCTGTTCCCCAGTTTCCGCATCTTTAAAATGCGAATAAATAAAGCACCTAAAAAAACCAAAACCAAACCCATTGCCGTCAAGGTGATTCCAATTCATAGCGACTGTATAGGTCAGAGTAGAACCACTCAATAGTTTCCAAGGCTGTAACCACCAAAGCTCCTTTAATAAAGCACCTACCTCCTATCATTATAACAGTACCTGGCCATAATAAGCCCTCAATACTTCCAGCTATTATTAAGAGCCAGAGTTCCTGGGTGGCACAAACAGCTAAGTGCTCAACTGCTAACTGAAAAGTTAACGGTTGAAACCGACCCAGAGGCACCTCAGAAGAAAAGCCTGGCAATCTGCTTCTGAAAAATCACAGCCTTGAAAATCCTATGGAACACAGTTCTTCTCTGACACACATGGGATCGCCATGAGTCAGAACCACTTGGTGACAACTGGTGGTGGTGGTATTAAGAACAGATAAATATCAAATACAGATTAACATTATTTGCAAAGACTTTTAAAACTTCAGAAGTTTGTTGAATCATCTCTAAACAAGCCTACATTTTCTAAGCTACTTTCAGGAACCACTTTCTGGCTCGTCTGTTTCCAAGAAACAGATTTCTGCCCTACTATTAAAGACCTGGAAACCCTGGTGGCATAGTGGTTAAAGTGCTACAGCTGCTAACCAAAAGGTCCGCAGTTTGAATCCACCAGGTGCTCCTTGGAAACTCTATGAGGCAGTTCTACTCTGTCCTATAGGGTCGCTATGAGTTGGAATCGACTGGACAGCCAACAGGTTTTTTTTTTAATTAAAGACCTAGTGATCTGTTCCTGTAGAGTCCAGCCTAGAAAGCCCTACGGGACACTTCTACTCTGTCACATGAAGTCACTGTGAGTAAAAAATTGACTCAACAGCACCCAACAACATAGCTACTTAAAGAGCATGAGGTCATCAGGCATGAGGCCACTTCCTTGTTACCCTCGAGAGTGTGAGGTGAAGGCACTCTGGTTTGACTGCCCAAAGGAAAAGGTCTAGAAAGCTCTGAGGATTACCTCTTTTGGATAAGGGATGTAGCCGGCGTAAGCCAGGACAAAGGTGCAGAATTTGTTGAAATCCTCCACGGTCCTGCGCCTCTTGTAGCTGGGGGAGTACTCCTGTAAGAGATGAAGAAACAGTGTGTTTGAAAGCAGACACTTACATGTGAAATAACAGCAACAAAATTAGACAAGCTGGAACTTTTATTGTCAATGACTCAAAAATACACTACCAGATTTACAAACACTCTAGAAACAAGATAAGGTATGCTCGGGTCAAAATATAATACTGTCTTCAGAAAGCTAAAAGAGGAATAATATGATTTAATGCCAAGAATACTGGGATTTTGGTTAGGAGATAAAAGCTTGTACAAAGTCTATTTCTTAGCACTCATGTGGTATTTTCTGTGTTATCTATTAGTCTCTGCCCGCCTATCAAGAGCTTTAGTAACTGTTTTTGCTACAGATTTTCCATTTTGAAAATAAACTCCTGCTGCAGCTGTAACTAAAATACTTTCAGTGATTTAGAAAACCAACTGCTTCTTAACCTTCAGGGCTTACTCAGGCCTGCGACCCTCCCCGCCTGGGGGCTACTGAGGACCCCCACCTGCCCTATGCTCTCCCACTCAGAGGGGCCTGTTCTGTTCCCCTCCACTGCTCCAACACCAGTGTGCCTGGCACGCAAATGCTTCCTGACTCAAAGAATAAACCAGAAGTTTTCCTATTAATCTTATTTGTACATTTTAATTGGAATATCAGAGGTTTGGGCTTATGTATCCTGTCGCTCTTTAATCTAGAAACACCCCTAACAAGAATGGATTTTCTCCTGAGGAACAGTAGTACAGGGAGAAAGTGCCCTTATCTGCTACTGAGCAAAACTGTACTTCATACCGATTTTTTCAACTAGTCTATTTACTGAGGTTTTGTTTCAGCATTTTATCCCCCCTTCCCTATCCTTAAGTGTTCAGCTAACACTTCCAGAGCCTTGAGTCCAACTACCCTGCTGGAGTGAAAGAGAGGTGATGCGGGGGGTCAGCTCCGGGCGGCCCATCACAGCCGCTGCCCGGGAGAGATGTTGGGAAGGCGACCGCACAGGCAGGTTTTCTTCCCCAGCCTCCGTTTACTTTTATTTTCTCCATTTGGGTTAGTAAACCATCTACTCTCCCGCCCCTCGTACGCACGGATAGAACGACACTCTGGCTACCAGAGAACTGGAGACAGCCCGGCCTCCAGCGCTTCCTGCAGTGCAAGCTCCTGCCCCCACCCCCAAGGGACACTGAGGCCCGTCCCTCTTGGCCGATTGAGAGGACTAAGCTCGCTCCCAAAACTCTCGGGAAGAACTTTTATTTCGGCGGGGAACATGCAAAAGTGGGTCAGAAACCAAGACGCGGCGCTGGCGGAGGCAGCTCCCGGGCCCGTGCGGGAGGCACCGGCTCGGGGGGCTTCGTGCCGCCCCCATCCCGCGCCCACCAGCCTTCAGGAAAAGCAGATGGCGGCGCGGCCCCCTCCCCGCCGCCCGCTCGCGGAAGCCGTCCCCCGCCGCCTTGGCCCGGAAGGTGCGGGGCCCACCGCAGGGGAGGGGCGGCCGCGGGCGGCCAGCGGGATTGCAAGGTCCGAGTGGGGGCCACGCGCAACCCCCGGGTGCCGGCGGGCGGTAAGCGAGGGCGCCGCCTCCCCTTTCCCCTCCCCCCGCGCCGCCGCCGGCACCCGGCAGAGCGCGCCTCGGGGGTCAGGGGCATCTGGGGGGCGGCCGAGACCGAGGACCGATCCCCGGAAGGGGGGCGAGCCAGGGCGGAGCGAACAGGGCCCGAGGGCGGGGGGCGGAGCGCGCCTGGGGAGGGGGGGGCCACGCGAGTCCCGGAGGCGGGGGACCTCGAAGGACGAGGCCCCCAATCGCCGAGGGGGCGGGGGCGATTGGGCTCGGCTCCGAGTCAGGGGGCGGGGCGCGGGCCCTCCGGATTAGGGTAGCCGCGGGGGCCTAGAGGAGCCCGTTCCCCGCCGCAGGGGGCCGCGAGCCCCTCCAGGAGGGGGGAAAGAGGGCTCCTCACAGAGGACAGACGCAGGCGGGCGGCGGCGGGTCGGACCGAGGGGGAGGGGGTAAGACAGGACGGCGAGCGGGGGAGGGGATGGGGGGGCGCAGACAGGTCCCGGGGTCTGTGAGGCCGGGAGCGGCAGTACCAGAAGGGGTGGGCGCGGCGGCCCGGGAGAGGGAGGCAGGATGGGACGCGGACGTCCGGAAAGGGCCACCGAGGCGAGGCCGGCGGGAGGACGGGCGCGGGCCCGAGCGGGGGGCTGGGGCTGGGCTCCGGGGGGCGGTGGGGGAAAGCTGGGGGAGGGGAGGCGACGCACGACCCGAGGGGGTCCGGCCCCCGGGGGCGCAGGCTTGCAGTGGGGGTGCCGAGGGCAATCCGGGCGCATCCCTCACTCACCTCAGGGTGGAAGGCGGCGGCGCAGGAGTCGGAGTCCATGTTCAGGGCGGGGGGCGGCGGCTGCGGGAGTAGAAGGGGCCGGAGTGCGGACACCGGAACGTGGCGCCGCTCGGGGCCGGGGGCTCCGGCGGCCGCGCAGGGCGAGGGCGGACCCCGGAGGGTTCGCCCCAGCTAGAGAATATGGGGGGCTCGGCGTGTCGCGCCGCGGGCTCTGTACTCCCGGGCTGGCGGCTCCACGGCCGAGCAGCGTCGGCGATGCGGCTCCCACGGCCGGCGAGGCGGGAGAGTCGTTGCGGGGGGCGGCGGCAGCGGCAGCAGCGAGCGGGAACCCGACCGGCTCCCCGACCTGACGCCCAGTTCGGCTTGTGTCTCGGGAGGGAGGGAGGGAGGGCGGGAGAACGGCGGGGGCTGTCGGGAAATGTAGTCTGTGGGAAACTGGAGGCCTGTGGTGCGGGGAAGGGCGCAGGGCATTGTGGGAGTCGTAGTTCTCGGCCCTGCAGCTGAGGCGCACAAAGGCCGCCTGCAAGACTCCAACCCCCATAGAGCTGCGCGGCGGCTACCCGGTGTGCGGGGGCGGTGTCTCCGGGACTCCTGGCAGCCCAAGCGGGGGAGGTGCGGGGGTCGCGCCGGCTTGGCCGGTGGGGGGAGGGGCGGCGCGAGCAACAGCGCCTTGTTGCGGGCGGGCAGCGGGAGTCCCCGAGCGGGTGGGGGCGGGGACGGCGGCCTCCGTCGCGAAGAGCGGTGGAGGTCACTTTCTGGCGCCTTGTCTTTCTCCTTTAGGGCTTGGGGTTCGCGCCTCTTTGTGGGCTGGGGTCCCCTGCGGCCGGGGCGGGGCGGCGGGCGCCGACATCGGGGCAGTACGCCAGGGCTCCGCTCCTTTAGGGCGGAGGCGCCGGCTGGCCCCGCGCGCCCAACACCGGTCGAAGAAAACTTGTTTTCGCGGCAGTCGGTTTTGTCGTCGGCTGCTGGTGACCACGGAGGCCAGGGGGACGGCGGACCCAGGCCAAGCGAGATTGGGGGGACTTGGAGGCTCTTCTCGTGGTGGCTGTAGCATTCACTTTTGGGTGTCGGATTACAGCGTTTATAAAAACCTCTGTTACTGCTGTCAGTGTTTTAGAAAATGTTTTAAATCTGTTTTTCTTCCTATAACTTTGAGACTGCCCCTGTTTTCTCACTTACGTTGTATAATTCTTTGAACATATTTTTCATAGAATTACAGCAGTCGAGAATGAGGTAGAAACCGCACGGTATGCGATATTTTGTGTTAACGTCTACTTTCTGTTAATTGATATTTTAATTGAGGCTTTTAAAGTATTTAAATGCTGGGCTGCAGAGTATTTTACAACTCTGTACGTTGAAGGTTAATTGATTCTAACTGCTTGGCTGGTCAGTAACAGTCTTGGTGAGTTTACCGAAAGAAAGCCAGACATGCTTTAATATTTTTAATAACCGTTTGAAAGAAAAAAATTTGTATACAAAATGCAGATGATTGAATACATGTTTGGTAGCTTTGAAGACAAACTTTGTTAAAGAAGAATAACATACAGTTTTAAACTGAAGTCAGAAAACTAAGTCTTGGACATACTAAATCAAAACGGTAATTAGAAGAACTCATAGAAGATGGTATTTTGAGTGGCAGTGAATGGTAGATTAGTTGGCTATTGCTGTTAAGGTGGTTAAGATATTTCTAATGGAAACATTCAGTGATGAAGAGACTTAGGTTTATTTTAGCAAATACTTATAAGCCATAAAGTTTTTAGCTTACTGCCTGGCTCAATAAACTGCCTGGTAGTTCACTGTGATATTATTTACGCAGTATCATAGCCCATTGGATGGCTCCTCAGAGGTGATAACAAACTGAGATGGTTTAGAAAGCTAATTAGATAAAAACAGAGATATTGGAAATGTCCCGTCATTACATAATTAAGAGTTTCTTACAGAGTTGTTACATTCAGGTGCTTTAACCACAGATTTGGAATATCATTCTGATCACTGTGACCACAATAAATAGCATGGGGTTAGCCAGTGCTGCCCAGGGTCAGATTCACCAGGAGCATCTTGTTCTGCCTAAATAAGAAACAGTTAAGGATATTCTCTTATTGGTAGTTTAAAGGTGTAAATTCCAAGAAAAGTAATTATTAGAGGTGAATTTTTTTTTTTACAACTGATCATTATTCCCTAAGGTATAATTTTGTTTGTTTATTTTGGTAGATCCATATGTAAGAAATTGTTTGCCTTTTCAACATTCTTCACATATATAATTCAGCGACGTTAGTTATGTTTATCATGTTGTTCAGCCATTATCATCCATTTCCAGATTTTCCCATCACCCTTAATAGAAGCTCAGAGCCCTTGTTGCACAGTGGTTAAGAAGAGCTCAGCTGCTAACCGAAAGGTTGGCAGTTTAAATCCACCAGCTGCTCCTTGGAAACCCTATGGGGCAGTTCTACTGTGTCCTGTAGTGTTGCTATGAGTCGGAATCAACTCGGTGGCAATGGGTTTGGTTTTTGGTTTTTAATAGAAGCTCAGTGTTCCCCAAGCAGTGAGTCCCCCTCTTCCTCTCGCTCACCCCTGTAGCTACTAATAAACTTTGGTCTCATACACGTGCCTATCCTAGATATTGCATAGAAATGGAACCATATGATATTTATCCCTTTGTGACTGACTTATTTTACTCAGTAAACTGTTTTCAAGGTTTATCCATATTGTAGCACGATGTATCAGGACTTCATTTCTCTTTATGGTTGAGTAATATTCCATTGTATGAATATACCACATTTTATTTATCCATTCCTCTGTTGGTTGACATTTAAGCTGTTTCCACCTTTTGACTGTTGTGAATAGTGCTGCAGTGAACATTGATGTGCAAGTATGTACGTTCCTGCTTTCAATTCTTTGGCGTATGTACCTAGGTATGGAACCTTGGATCATATGATAATTCTATGTTTAACTTTTTAAGGAACCACCAAACTGTTTTGCACTTTAGTTGTACCATTTTAGAATCCCACCAACAACTGATGAGAGTTCCAATTTCTCCACATCCTTGCCAACAGCTGTTGTTTTCTGGTTTTGTTTTTTCTGTTTGTTTATCACAGTCTGTGGTATAATTTTTCACGTAGTAGACATTAAATCCTTTTCCCCTTACAGGTTAAGAAACTGATTCTCAAGCTTTAAATGAAATAAAGAACTTGCTCAGAATAATAATGGACTTCATGACAAAACTGAGCCTAAAATATAAGGACCTGTGTTGGACCACTCAGTCCCCAGGTTACAAACATAATGTCCGACTTACAGACTACTCATACTTAAAAATGGACTGCTATAAAGCCTATTATATTAAAAATTTGAGTTCAATGCAATGGTTGGTAGTAATGCACTACTTTGTGATGCTCACGAAAACATTGCGTGATTTGGAAGTGTTAAGTGTTTTATATTCATAGATAAAATGTATACTATGTACTAAGACAAACGTGACTGACGCTAAATAACAGCCATGTGTACCTGTTCCAACTTACCTACAAATTCAACTCAAAGGCAGACTTAGGAACAGATCTCGTTCATAACCTGGAGACTGTCCATAAATCCCAATTTGGATTTTTTCATATGATAGGTTTTCAGACCAAAGTGGTAAGACTTGCTCAGAGTAGGTTTTCAATAGTTCTTCAATAAATTCTTAGTAAATAGCAATTCTTAGTACATAGATGTGACCAGCAGTATATGGTGTACTATGCTTGTTGTCCTGCCTGCTACTCTACTGAAATAGAAAACTTCATGGAGAGGGATCTTTTTTGTCTCCTTCCTTTGATTTCCCTTAGAAATTTGGCCTTTTGGAAAGGGTTAGACATTAATATTTACCATGCTGTCCCTAGATTCAAAACAGGACTATTAACACCAGTAATTAACCCAAATTCAATAGCATAACACATGGCCGTAGGTTAATAAAGTTAATTTTTTCTATATAACAAGGAGCCCTGGTGGTGCAGCGGTTAAGCACTCGGTGGCTAGCCAAAAGGTCAGTGGTTTGAACCCACTAACCACTCTGGGAGAAAAATGTGGCAGTCTGCTTCCGAAAAGATTACAACCTTGGAAGCCCTATGGGGCAGTTCTACTCTGTCCTATAGGGTCGCTATGAGTCGGAATCAACGGCAAAGGGTTTCTCTATATGATATGCTTAGATTTGTTCGATTTCTCTAGTTTATTTCTCAGGTAGACCGAACTATTCCTAGGCTCCACAGAGTGAATCAAGAATTCCATGATTACTTCAAGAGGATTAGCCACAGTAGCCAGCTCCCAGGAGTCTACGATTCTTGTTTTCTGTTTTAAAGAAAAAATTATACCTGCTGTTGAATGCTAATTCTCAGATGATTATAGCTACTTAAGAAAAAGGAAGAAAAAGCCAACATTAGCACAGGTTGTGACAAGTTTAAAAATACTAAGAATACCATGGTTTCCCAGTATGTAACTCGAGAACATAGTTATTTTAATTTGGTCACCAAATATAGCTTCACCTTCCTAAATCTCATTGCAGCTACACTACATTCATTTGGGGAACATTCAGGAAAGCTTTCTGGTTACCATTTTGAAACTACACTTGAGTATGGGTGTAAACATAACCGAAGGTTTATTTTTCCCTGAATTATTTTCTGGTGTTGCAACTGTTCATTCGAGTTGAATAGTATAATAAGAACTTTTCTTACCCTGTTTTCTCCCTTCATTTCTATTTCCAGAAGAGAAAAAAAATCAATATTTCTCAGATTCGTAATTGTTTTCATCTTTTAGTATCTTTACTACTGTATGAACATATATGTGTGAATGCTTTTTAACCATTAATAAATATGCCTTAACTGTGTGTTGTCAATCTTCCATGTAGTCAGGAAAATAACCTATGCATAAAAGAATCAAATGAATTTCTTTCATTATGAGTCATAAAGGTAAAATATAAAGACAGTAGCTAACAGGATGTTTAAATATTTTTTCTTGTATTTAACTGGTATATAATAGTACATTTAATAAATAGAGATACTCTAATATTTCTTAGCGGAAAAAGTTTATATGTAGTAAGCATATTACAAATCACACCTTGGGCTGCCCAGATTGGAAAAAAAATCAAGTTGTTATAGGAAATAAGGTGCAATCTCTTCAGATTCTATAAATGCTGAAGTATCTGTTCATAAGTGTTCTCAAAGTTAAAAAAAAAAAAAAGGGGGGAGGGGTAACAGCACCTCTTGTCCTGTCTGTCTAAAATTAGTATCCGAAGACCATCAAAATTAAATAATTTGAATTTTTTCAATTAAATAGTACCATCAGGACAGTAGTGAAATTATAATTTATTCTTTGTTAAATCATATGATCATAAGTTACTTAGGCAAAGACCATTTTCATGATTTTAGAAGAGGTAAACTTCTAAAACTTTCATGACTGAAGTTGAATTTATAAATACAAGCAGTTTTCCACCAACTCTTGCTGGTTTGGCTAGAGTTAACACCTTCCTCACCAAAAGATGGTGGTTCTGCAATCTCAGTCTTCAAGGAGTTTAAAACACGTTATTAATCATATGTTTGCTGACTCAATCACATTGTCATACCTCGGTGGATTAATTTCTCAGTTCCTGTTTTGAACTCGAGATTGACGAGCAAAAAGAGGAACTAAATGGTATGCTTGGGTTAGTAGGTTATTCAGAATTCCAAGCACAGCTGATAGGTCTAAATCTTTTTCTAGCTGCATTCCTTTATTGATTTAAATATATACACACGGTTTCAAGAGTCTGCCTGTTAGGTCCAGGATATTAATCACACTTATTTTTCTCAAGAGCTGATTTTGTTTTTTTTTCTTTTAAGCTTGTATTATTTCTTTAATACAAAGATCGTATACGTTTAGTACAGAAAGACAAAATGCTGTCAAACAAAATCAACAAAACAAACCTAACCACCTAAAGAAAATGTATATTTCCCATTTATTTATGCATATGAGCACATATGACAAATCGGATCATAGTGTGTGTGATACGATTTTTCACTTACAACTATAACATGGACATCTTTTCATTTCAATGAATAGCTACATCATTAGTCTCCCAGACTGAAGCATGATTTGTTTAATAACCCCCGTTTTTAGGAATACAAAAAAAAATTGTACTCAATTTCTGACCACAGAAACCGTACTGATTTAATCATCCAGATTATGCAGAGTTGATGAGTTCTGATCCAGAGGGACTATAGTGCTTTTCCCTTCAATCATCCCACTTCCTGGCTGCTCAGACTTTCTTGTCACAAAGCCTGACCAAGTAAGCGATTGGCCGGGCTCCTGGGCCCGGGAATGCTGCTGCTGCCGTTAATAGCTGTGTGAACAGTCCATCTATGGGCAACAGGCGGCAGCCGGGTACCTGCCTGTTTTCTTACTTAGGCCTGTGCTTCCCAGGCTGACCTTGAAACTCAGATACATTCTCAAAGAAAGATGAGAGATTCCCAGGTGGGAGAGAAGGTCCAGAGCTCTTGGTTCAGAGATCGAATAAAAACAAAATGTCATCTCCAAAAGTTGTGCTGGATTTAGCTGGAACTAAGAAATGACAGCTAGCTCCTGGCAGCCGGCAGGCCTACCCTGGGACACACGTGGGCTGCTCTTCAGGAATGTTTATAAAGGCCTGCAGGGTGTGGGTGGGGCTGGTAACTAGCAAAAAATCCAAGCTGCATCTTGCAACACAAAGTGGAGGTGAAACGAGGGTCTTCTCTCAAACTTAGCAAGGCGTACCTTAAAACGCAGGAAAAAAAGGCTTCCAACTAAGGGGATTTTTTTCACATCAAGTTACCGTTGAAAGTGCCTCCTGGTAGATTCATGTCTTCACCCTATCATGCCCAAGTGGCTGTGACATTTCTGAAAGGGCCACATCTGTTAATCAAGGCAGCGGTGTTGATAATGGTTACCCTGCCTGCCCTTAAGCTGAAAGCCCGGTACCTCTAACCCCCAGTGCCCCTCCCATGGAATAGGAAAACCCTGGGAGGCCAAGGAGCTTAATTAAGGCAGGCTTGTCTCCTCTGTAGGGTGGTCCTGGAGCCTGAAGGTTTAAGAATGAGAAGCTAAACCGACTCTTTGTCCGATGACTAAAAGTAATGACTGTATAGTTTGAAACTCCTGCAGCAACCGTGGAGTTTTCTGGAATCTAGCCCCGTGTCATTTATAGACGCTCCAAGAAAAACCCCCACCTAAAAATCCATATATTTGTTCACGTTTTCTTCCTGAGTCGTAAGAATCATCCCATTGTAAGAAATCTGCTTGTGATAGGGCTAACAAACAACCCTTTGAAATAGCAAAATTCGAAAAAAAAAAAAGCCATTGTGCCCTGGCTCCCGGCAGTCGGGAAGTCTGGCGCGCTCGGGGTGGCCTCGGGGCCGGGCGCCGAGTTCGGCTCCTTAGCGTTAGGCCGGGGCCCGGGGGGCGATGAACAGGCCCGGAGGCCCCGCTCCCCGACACACAGGCAGACACTTGTCACTCGCCGTCCCCCGCCCGACCGTCATCGGAGACGACGGGGAGCCCCGGAAGAGTGGAGGTGGAGCGGGGCGCGGGCGGGCTGGTGACTCTGACGGAGCGCGGGGGCGGGAGCGCGCTGGGAGGCGAGCCCGGGCAGCCAGGGGTTAAGTGGGCGTTGCCACCGAGGCCCTGCCCTATCGCCCCGCCCCTTCCCGGCCATATTTAGAGCTGCGGCGCCGAGAACGCAGCGTTTCTCCGCAGGCCCCGGCCGCGGTTCCTCAGTAGCTCAGGCGCCATGGAGCGGCCGGCGCCACTGGCCGTTCTGCCCTTCTCGGATCCCGCGCACGCCCTGAGCCTGCTGCGCGGCCTGAGCCAGCTCCGCGCCGAACGCAAGTTCTTGGACGTGACCCTGGAGGCGGCGGGCGGGCGCGACTTTCCGGCGCACCGGGCCGTGCTGGCGGCCGCCAGCCCCTACTTCCGCGCCATGTTCGCGGGGCAGCTGCGCGAGAGCCGCGCCGAGCGGGTGCGGCTGCACGGCGTGCCGCCCGACATGCTGCAGCTGCTGCTCGACTTCAGCTACACAGGCCGCGTGGCGGTGAGCGGCGACAACGCCGAGCCGCTGCTGCGTGCTGCCGACCTGCTGCAGTTCCCGGCTGTGAAGGAGGCGTGCGGCGCCTTCCTGCAGCAGCAGCTAGACCTGGCCAACTGCCTGGACATGCAGGACTTCGCCGAGGCCTTCAGCTGCGCGGGGCTGGCGAGCGCGGCGCAGCGCTTCATCCTGCGCCACGTGGGCGAGCTGGGCGCAGAGCAGTTGGAGCGGCTGCCACTGGCGCGCCTGCTGCGCTACCTGCGCGACGACGGGCTGTGCGTGCCCAAGGAGGAGGCCGCCTACCAGCTGGCGTTGCGCTGGGTGCGCGCGGACCCGCCGCGCCGCGCCACGCACTGGCCGCAGTTGCTCGAGGCCGTGCGTCTGCCCTTCGTTCGCCGCTTCTACCTGCTGGCGCACGTCGAGGCCGAGCCGCTGGTGGCGCGCTGCCCACCTTGCCTGCGCCTGCTACGCGAGGCGCGCGATTTCCAGGCGGCGCGCTACGACCGCCACGACCGCGGGCCCTGCCCCCGCATGCGCCCGCGTCCTTCCACCGGCCTTGCCGAGATCCTCGTGCTCGTGGGAGGCTGCGACCAGGACTGCGATGAGCTGGTTACCGTCGACTGCTACAACCCGCAGACCGGCCAGTGGCGCTACCTGGCCGAGTTCCCCGACCACCTGGGCGGAGGCTACAGCATCGTCGCGCTGGGCAACGACATCTATGTGACGGGTGAGTGAAGGAGACTGGCTGCGACCCTGGGCTACCCTCCAAGCCCCCACAGAGGTAGGAGTCCCAGGGCTGGCCGCCTCCGCTCTTGGGAGAGGACATGGACCTGGAAGAGAAACCCACAAAACCTGATCTCCCGGGACCGCACCTGAGTCCAAGCGGCCACTTCCTCCTGCCATCCCAGAGCAAGGCTGGCAGACGGGTGCTCGTGACATTGTCTAGGGTTGATACTTCCAGGCGGCAGAAAGGGCCCTTGTGTGAGCCAGGACAAGTAGTTGCTTGTGGGCCTCTGTTCTCTGTGCAGCTGGGCCTGCCTGGGTGAGCTCAATTCCTGCCGGGAGGTGCCCCCTATTTGGTTGGAAGGTTCTGGGGCATTTACCCCACACAGTGGGTGCTTTCTTTTTCTCCCCCCAGCAATCCAGGAACAGGCCCAAGGGTGACGCCCTGTGAGACACCCATCCACCCTGTCACGGGGATATTTCTCTGTCACTCGGGGCCACAGGGGACTTCTGACTCACTGGTTTGTCACTGGTGATCAGGTTCCCCTGGCTGGAACACCCACACCTTAGAGCTGTGTTTGGGTCACATAGTGTTTAGGTTGAGCTTCCAGACTGTAAACACAGTCACATGCTCCTACTGTTTTTTCCAGTTCCTTGGCCCAGACCCCAAAACACTGCCGAGTCATGGTGGGCGGGCCCCCGCCTGCTGTTCCTGGGCTCTCCCACATTTTTTATTAAGGATGAATCCCTTTTGCACATGAGGCTACCTCCCCTGGTGTGAGGAGGGGCGGTCTCTGACTGCTTTATAAGGAAAGAACCCAAGGAGTCAGGATTTGGTGGCCCTGTTACCAGACAGGGGAGGTTCAGGGCTGGTTAGCACAGCCCCTGTGCCCGTCCTGGCACATTCGGGAGGAAATTTCCCTCTGAAGCAAATGTTCTGGTGCTCTGGGGGAGCTCTGAGCTGGCCAAGGGGGTGCAGCCCAGCTGAAGGAATGCTCAGCTCTCTGGGCAAAGCTCTGTGGACTGCAAGAATCTGTCCCTCTTTACAATCTGAGGATGCCTCGTGTTGGTTGGGGACCATGGCCCCTCGGAAGTCTGGCCAGCGGCTTTGAGCAGAGAGCTCCCAGACTGGCTGGCCTTGCCCCCGCTTCTGCACACGCTTTCATAAACTTCACAGCTGAGCAGCTAATCCTTGGAGTTTAGGCAACTGGCCTGGTCACCCTACAGCTGCCTGTAGGGTATTCCATGCAGTGAGAGAACAACTGCAGCTGCCTTTGACACCGTTCTCACTTCGAAGGAAGAAGGCAGACAGAGGCAACTTGTGTTAGAGCTTTGTCTTTTCCCGTTCAAAGTCCAGGGCAATCAATAGAAGGCTAGAATGTCCTGCTGCTCTGCCGGGTGGTGCTAGCCTAGGAGAAGATCCCACAGCTCCCAGGATTCCTGGATCGTGGAGATTTTGGTGTCTTGAATAAAAAACCAGTTGCTGTCAAGGTGATTCTGATTCATGGTGACCCCATGTGTTTCAGAGTAGAATTGTGCTCCATAGGGTTTTCAGTGGCTGATTTTATAAGACATAGGTTGCCAGGCTTTTCCTCTGAGGTGCCTCTGAATGGACTCAAACCTCCAACCTTTTGGTTAGGAGTGAATGTGTTAACCATTTGTACCATTTAGGGACTCTGGTATCCTGAATAGGCCTCGGGTTTTTTCTTTATGATACATCTAGCACCACTTGTTTTTTCTTTAAGTTCTTTATTCAAATTAAAAGGAGCCTTGGTGCTCTTTAGCCAATGGTTAAGTGCTGGGCTGCTAACTGAAAGGTCAACAGTTTGAACCCACTCTGCGGGAGAAAGACCAGGCGATCTGCTTCCGTAAAGATTACAACCTAGGAAACCCTGTGAGGCAGTTCTGCTTTGTCACATGGGGTCGCTACGAATCAAAATTGACTAGATGACATCTACAGCACCACAGCATTGAAATAAAGAATTCATATAGAAAAATATACAGCATTCTTGTACAGCTTGATGAATTTTTACAAATGGAACACACCTCCGATACTGGCCCCAGAAGTCTCCTTTGGAGCATTACTTTTAGGGTCAGATCTCTTTCTTGTCCTGGCACAGCCTGGGTCAGGCCTGCTAGAAAGCCTAGAATTGAGTGAGCACGTCCCTCCACACCAAACGCCACACTGTGGTTCCCAGGAGAAGTGACATAGAGACCCTAGTGTCCCCATCCAGTTGAGAGGTGCTTCACAGTGTATCTCGGATTGAGACTCTGGGACCTTTGTTTGGCCAGCAGGGGTGTGACACAAAGCAGGGCATTGTTTTATGGGGTGAAGTTCAGTCCTGGCCAGTGGTCAGCGTATGCATTGCCTTAGCCTCAGCCCGGGACACCTGGGCTGGGCAGGGGGAAGAGAGGATGGGACTTGGACACGTGTTGAGGTTGAAGCTCAGTGAGCTAAGTTACTCTCCAGGGAAGGCCCCACTGAAATTTAGGAAGGTTCAGGATGGGCTGACTCACACTAGGTGGGCGTGAGCTGACCTTCTCCATTGTGCGCCCGGCAGGCGGGTCTGACGGCTCGAGGCTCTATGACTGCGTGTGGAGGTACAACTCGAGCGTGAATGAGTGGACAGAGGTGGCACCCATGCTGAAGGCCCGCGAGTACCACAGCTCCTCGGTGCTGGATGGGCTGCTCTACGTGGTAGCCGCAGACAGCACAGAACGCTACGACCACACTGCCGACTCCTGGGAAGCCCTGCAGCCCATGACCTACCCCATGGATAACTGCTCCACCACTGCCTGCCGTGGCAGGCTCTACGCCATCGGCTCCCTGGCCGGCAAAGAGACCATGGTAATTCAGTGCTACCACCCGGACACAGACCTGTGGTCCCTAGTGGACTGCGGCCAGCTCCCACCCTGGTCCTTTGCCCCCAAGACTGTGACGCTGAATGGACTCATGTACTTTGTCAGGTGAGTCCCTGGGTGCCGACTTGCCATCTGCCCAGCATTTATACCAGGCCAGGCCCTGTGCTAATAAGCACATCACCACTGTTCTCCCCATTTCACAGATGAGGAAACTGAGGTGGAGCTGGGATTGAGTTCAGGTCTTTCTGACTCGAGTGTTTGCTACACCCCGTTTCTTAGAGTGGTTTCTGTGGGCTTCCTTGTTGTATTGGTCAGGTGATGCCAAGTGTGTTGTAGTTAGGCCTTTCAGAGAACTTTTTTGAGGTTCATAGAAGCCAAATAAAACTGTCCCTATGTGCTGGACTTGCACTTGGAGAATCCCGTTAAGAGCTCTGGTTGTTCTCACATGACATTTGTTAGAGGAATCTGTCATACCTAGAAGGGATTTTGAATTTGAAAAAAGCAGGAGGAGAGCTTGTTTGCACACTTGAATCTGGGAAGGCATGGCCCTGACCCGCTAAAATGCAAAGCAGAGTGTTCATGGTCAGGCAGGTGGGGGACCAGCTCCCACCACCACTATGTGAAGCATCCTTGTGTGTTGAGCCTGGATGGCACGAGCAGTTTGCCCTTGACTACTAACCTAAAGATCGGTGTTTGGAACCCACCCAGTGGCTCCATGAAAGAGGCCTGGCGAACGGCTTCCATAAAGATGGCAGCCAAGCAAACCTTGTGAGTCAGTTCAGCTCCATAGCACGTGCGGTTTCCATGAGTCAGGGGACTGACTCCACAGCAGCAAGTTTGGGTTTTTAGTCTTTTGATGTTGAGCATTTCTAGCAGGTTCTGTCTTTGGGCTGGAGGGCAGTACCATGCCCTCTCCTGCCACCTGCCTGGCCGGGGCCTAGCACCAGGAGTACTCGTCAGTCTTTGTGGACTGAATGGTATTCTCCAGGGCACCTGCAGCTGCTCTGGACCAGGGAGAGGCCTGGTACTGAGCAGCTCTGGAGAAGGATTCTAGAGCCTCTTGTGGGAATGATGACGATGTTAATTTGTGCCAAGCCTGTGTGCATGTGGACACGGTGACCTCTGTGCTGCTGTCTCCATGTGTGTTCACGTTTGATTGCCATGACTGTCTGTTGAGCTGGGCATTACTGTTGTCCCCATGCACAGATGGCAAAACAGAGGCTTAGGGGGCTAGAGGGACTTGTTGATAGCCACAGGCTCTAAGTGGTGGTACAGGTTTGAACCAAGGACATCCAACCCAGATCCCCAAGTGTAATGTCACTGTGTTCACAGCAGGGCTGGGCAGGAGGCAGCATGGAGTGGACAGTGACAGCCAGTGGTCACCGTGTATCTTCTGATCTTGAAGACCTGACTGGTCATAGCCAAATGCCCTCTCCTTGCGGGTCAGCGGGAACCCAGGAGGGAGCTAGGAATTCCCTGCCTGCTGCACACAGCTTCTGTGTGTGTGTGTGTATATGCGTATACTTGCTCTGTGTGTGTGTATACATGCATACACCTGATGTGTGTGCTTGTGTATGTGTGTGTTTATGTATATACATGCCTGCTGCTCCCCTTCCTGGCCCAGAGCTTTCCTGGGACCAGGAATGACGAGGCGGCTATGAATGACTGTCCCCTCTGCCCCCTTTTTGGTCTGGGATTTGAATTGGGACCTTGGTGGAAGTCAACTCTTTGTTCTGGTCCCCTTGCCTCTCATTCTGAGCAGCAGTGGTCTTCGACCCCTAATCCCAGCCTGAGGCTCCTTCCAAGGAACAAGCTGGGCTTTCCGGATGAGCAAGCACCATTGGGAATGATTGTGGGGTTGCTTGTCACGCGAGTTGCTGAGGGGCCTGGCATTGCCATGTGCCAGGAGCCTCTGGTCTGCCAGAAAGCCCTGCAATCTCAGCCAGCTCCTAAGCCTGTTATAAAACAGCATCTGACCCTTCATCCACTTCTCCCTCCCAAGCCGTGATAGGTATCCTCAGAGAGGGGGGTGGGGATGCTATAAATACAGCTTATCAGCATGCCAGGGCCTTTGCCCCAGCCCCTCGGCAGCAGTTCCAGGACAAGTGTCTTTGAGAATGTCCTCCTCATCCTGAGGTTTTGGAGCATGACATGCCCAAGGGCCACTCTGTCCCCATCAGGCCAGTCTGCTTCTCTTCCTGGTGTAGGTCACCCATCAGCTGCTGAACTGTCCCATATGGAAGTGTTAGGGTAGAACCTTACTCTTTAGGGGTGGGTGGGAAGAGGCAGGCCCAGAATTTCCTAGATGAGGAATGGGCGCCTGGCCTGGCCTGAGTGGAGATTATTTGAGTGGCAGAGAGAAGCTCCTGGGAGCCAGGGCAGTGCCTGGAGTCTGGGTCTAGTGCCATTTGAGTGTTGGTCCCAGGGCCGCCCCTGCTCACAGCACTTCAGGGCCTCGTGAGCTTTGGTGCACAAAGCAGGTGACTCCCGCCCCAGAGTCCACCTGCTTCTGGGTAGCTTCTTCCAGAAGGTGCTGTCCCCAGGGAGACAGCCAGTGCTGCATGGGGGCCATAGCCCCTTAACTGTCACATTCATGACTTGAAAGGGCTGCTGTCCTGGGCTCTGGGCGTGACCAGCTGGCCCCTCCCCGCAAGCAATGCTCCCATCTTAGCTCCAAGAGAGGTGGCTCCTGGGCTGGATGTACCACGTCCAGCGGAGGAAGGAGCCTGGCTCCTACTGGCTACAGCTTGGGGGTCTTTGCTGGGGTGGGAATGGGAGGCCTGGGGAAGACAGCCTAGCAGGTTCCACTGTTTAATTATCATCATCGTATGGCCCACAAAGAATGGCTTTTATACTTTGGAATATTTGGAGGCAAAATCAAAAGAATGCTATTTTGTAACGTGAAGATTATAGGAAATTCAGATTTCAGTGTCTCTAAGTCAAGGTTTACTGGGACGTAGCCCATTTGTGTATGTATTGTTTGCAGCTGCTTTTGCACCACCACAACAGAATTGAGTAGTTGCAACAGAGACCATCTGGTCCACAAAGCCAAAAATATTTTCAGTCTGGCCTTTCAGAAAACGTTTGCTGATCCCTCCTATTAGTTTCCTGTGGCTGCCGTAACAAAGTACCACAAACTGATGGCTTAAAACAACAGGAATTTATTGTCTCACAGCTCTGAAAGCTAGGAGTCTGAAATTAAGATGTCAGCAGCTCTGTGTTCTCTCTGAAGGCCCTGGGAGTGAATCCTTCCTTGCCTCTCTCCTAGCTTCTGGTGGTTCCCAGCAATCTTGGCATTCCTTGGCTTATAGCTGCATCACTCCAGCCTCTGCCTCTGTCTTCACGTGGCCGTCTTCCCTGTGTGTCTGCATCTCCTCTTACAAAAACTCCAGCCGTATTGAATCTAGGGCCCACCCTAATCCAGTATGGCCTGGTCTTAATTACATCTGCAAAGACCCTATTTTCAAATAAAGTCACGTTTATAATACAGGGGTTAGGACTTCAGCATATCTTTTTGGGGGACACAATTGAACCCATAACACCCCTGATCTATGATCATTATCATTATCATTCTACTGCTATCACTATTTTTTCCAAGTAGTAACTTTGCTTTTCAAGGCTGTGCATTTGAGCCTTTTATTGTAGGGAAAGGAGGGTGTCAAACAGGCTGAAGGATCCTGGCCCCAAAATGCAGGGCATTGCTGGTCTCTTCATTTGTGTAATCGTGGTTATCATGCCAGGCACCGAGGACACAGCAGTGAATGGGCCGGGTATTGGGGGCTTACGGTGGTGGTCAGGGCAGTGGCTGAGGAATGGTCAGGGTACGTAGGGGTGTGCTGGGGGCAAGAGGTCTGGTCTGGACTGGTTGGCTATGGTGGGTTCCCTGAAGAGGGGGCTCAAGTCAGAATGAGAAGGGTAAGTAGGAGACTTGGAGGGGCAGGGGTGAGGGGGGAGTTTATTTGGAAGCCTGAGGTGAGATGGAACGTGCGAAGTCCAAGCACCGAAGGAAGCCAGTGTGGTCGCAGTGAGAGCTGGGGGCAGTCATGTCAGTGCTAGGTGGTAGAGAACCAGCCAAGGGTGTAAGTAGTCGAGGGGCTCGTCCTTTGGGCTTGTGGAGCAAGGCTGGGTCATGGTCTTGTAGCCCTGGGCAGTACCAGGCTGGCATGAGCATCTGGAATTGGTGCCTGAGAACCAGGATATGGTCCTGCCCAGCCAGTGGGGCTCCAAGTGTCATCAGAGAAACCCAGCTGGCTTGATGGAGCTATGGTTGGAAGACCCCACAGGAGAGGAGCTTGCAGGGCTGTGCTCAGGGACCCGACTCAGTTAGCCCTTCCCCTGCCCAGGGTGCTTCCTCCCTGCCCTGACCAGCTGCTCCCTCATTTCCTCCACAGGGATGACTCCGCCGAGGTGGATGTCTATAACCCAGTGAAGAACGAGTGGGACAAGATCCCATCTATGAATCAGGTGAGTTTCCTGATGTGCTACATCGGACATACAGGGTGGACTTGTTTTTCGACTGAAGTGTTGTCAGTTGATAGACGGTGGTGGGCAGGGCCCTGTGTGGAGTCTTCAGTGGCTGTTACCTCATGTAACAGAGTGGGTTCTGTTGTTCTTGAGTTGCCCTTGAGGATTAACTAAGGCACAGAGAAGTTAAATAAGATCCCAGGCCCACACATCTCAGTGAGTTCATTCATTCAGCTGGTGCTGATTGGACACCTCTGGGCAGGCACTGTTCTAGGTACTGGGGACACAACAGAGAGTCAGACAGACAGAAGTCCTGGCCCTCGTGGAGCTGACAGCATAGTGGGGAGATGGCAGTGGTCACTAGTAGAATGCCCCATCTGGCACCCTGTGTAAGTGCTAGGGGAGGGGGCCAGGGCACCGGGCTGGGGGAGGGAGTGGACATTGCTATTTTGGCCTCACTGCTAAGTTGACTTTTGAGCATAGACCAGAAGGACATACAGGAGTGAGTCATACAGTTATTGGGAGAACAAATGTTGTAGCAGAGGGAACAGCCTGTGCAAAGGGCCTCTGGTGGGTGTCCTAGTGTGTTCATGGACCAGCCAGCAGTGCAGAGTGGCTGAGTGAACAACGGGGCAGTGGAGGAGAGATGTGGTCAGACAGCAGGTCTCTGGTGACTGACCCACTCTTAACTGCCCCCATCCCCAGGAACTGACCTTGGGTGGGCGTTTACTGAGCACCTGCTATATGTTCTGAAACAGGACACCAGTATGCCCAAACAGCTGCAGAGAAGACTGCATGGGGGAGGGAGCTGCCTGAGCCTGAGTGGGGTGATGGTGCCTGGAAGGCTTGGCCACACTTGGCCGCTGGGTACTTTTCCTAGTCTCCGACACATACCTGCACCCTCCTAGGTCCTTCTTTTCCGTCTTACTTAAAATTCCCCAACCTGTTCTCATGAGACCTCTGCATGGCTGATGTCACAATTTCTGACATAACAGCTTAACATTTTGTTTACATTTGGCATCTGTAACTTTATCATTTTCCACCCAATAGTTACACATACCCATTGTAGCAAGTTTGGGAAAGATGGACTAGACGCCAGGCTCCGGGGTCAGGCCCCAGTTCTACCTCTGTCAGCCACAGAAGCCTCACTTTCCCCATCTGTAAGGTGAGGAGAGCAGTAGTTCACACGCAGAGGGTTGCTGCAGAGGTCACATGGGATGATCTCTTGTGCGGGGCATGACCTGTGCCCAGGGAGACTCTGGCTGTGTCCGCAGGGGCCACCCTGACTGCTATAGGGAAGGATTACCCACCAGTCCTAGCATGGTGTTGATTCCTGGGGAGTCCCCCATTTTCCTGGCCAGGTATAAGCAGGACATTGGCCTGTCCTAGCTGAGTTGTTCCCTGGAAATTCTGCACAGGATGGCTCCCAGTACTGCTTCCAGAAAGTACCATGGCTGCCCCTCTGCGGGACTGACAGCTTCCTGCAAGGTGCTCATGGCCCAGCCTGGGAGGGGGCTATGCCCTGCCCTGGTGCCAGCCTCCCCTCACCTGTCCCCCTTGGCCCACAGGTGCACGTCGGGGGCAGCCTGGCCGTCCTGGGTGGGAAGCTCTATGTCTCTGGTGGCTACGACAATACATTTGAACTCTCGGATGTGGTGGAGGCGTACGACCCAGAGACTCGAGCCTGGAGCGTGGTGGGGCGGCTCCCGGAGCCCACCTTCTGGCATGGCAGCGTCAGCATCTTCCGCCAGTTCATGCCCCAGATGCCCTCAGGCGGGCGCGGCTTTGAGCTGGATGGTGGCAGCCACGAGGTGAACTTGGGCCGCCTCCAGCAGCCTCAGAACCTGGACGAGCTGCACTAGCCCTGGCCTGGCCCAGGGAGGGCCTTGGTGCAGGTGACATGGCACCTGTGGAGGGGCAGCAACCCTCCTTCATGCTCGAGGACAGTTTGGGCTCCCCAGGTGGAGCGCGGGCCCTCAGGATCCACCACCTGGAAAGTTTCTGTGCATTTGGAGCCTAGAGTCATGGCTGCTGGAGCTGGAGCTGGAGCTGGTTACAGATGCCCCTCCCTTGGTCGCAGAAGAGCCACCCCCTGCCAGCACGTGTCTCTGACCCCACCTGCGGGTCCCCAGCTCACTATCGCAGTGCACACCCCTCTTGCTGCCACCACCTGTGCCTACTTGCTCCTACCTTGGGAGAAGAGGCCACCTGTGGGGGGTCCTGTGAGGAGCCTCAGAATGACCTAGGCCTGCCTTCTTGGGTATCCCCATCTGAGCCTGGAGCACCAGGAGTCAGCAGACCCTGGCTGTACACGGGGCTCCCCAGCTCCATGTCTGGTGCTGGCCCTCCCTAGGGGTCAGCTCCCCAGATGGAGGAAGGTCCTCTTGCCCTCCTAGGGTCTCCCACCAAGGCCCCTCACAGGTGGGGCCTCCAGAGGTGGGTGCAGGGCAATGGGACTGTGAGCAGGACGGTGACATTAAAGGGGTCTTTCTGTGTCCAGAGCACAGGCCGTGGTGGAGGCTGAGTCTCCTGCCCATCCCCCTAGCTGGCTGGTGTATCCTTACCTGGTGTGGAAGCCTCTGCTGGGCCTGTGTCCCGGACTGATGAAGGAGGGTGAAAACCTCCAAGTACAAGGCCAGAGCCCTCTCTAGGAGACCCTGGGAGTCTCATGGAGCCCAGCCCAACAAATGAGCAGACGTTTGTACATGGTTCCCGGGGCCCTGCCCTGAGCCCGAGCCCTCACTGTGCCTGCAAGTAGAGAATTCTGTCACCTATACAGGAAGTCTGGCAGGGAAGCCTCGGTGACTGACTCCAGGGTTTATAATACCTGCATGTCAACCCTTCCTTAAAGAGGAGGGGAAGCTAGGAACACGATTAGATTTGTTTGGTTTTTAAGTCTATCAAAGTGCCACTGCTGAAGCTTTCTGTGGGGCTGGGATGATTTGAGGTTCCTCAGAAGCTCAGGGCCAGATCCGGAAGCAGGGGGCAGGAAGAGCCTCCAGGAAACACTATGGCTCAGGGAGTCCCTGGTTGTCTCCCTGTGGACTGGGTGGTTTGTCTCCTCTAGCTGCCCAAAGTAGCCTTTGATTGAATTTGTCCTTCCTTCCCAGTCGGGGACATTTGGGCTGCGCGTTCCTTATTAATCAGTTAAAAGGAGATGTTTATGGAGTTGCCTTTTCACAGTGACCTGACTTTTGGAGCTGTGTTCTCACCAAAAGAAAAACAGATTCATTTCAGGACTATCACTTAACAAATTGCATGTAAAACCCTTTTAAGGATGGCACACATGGTCCCAGGAGAAGCCTTGTTGCCTGAATTTCTCCCAGTTGAGACACTTGCCTTCCTTCTCTTGCGTGTTCACGAGAAGCCTCTGGCAGGCTGCCTGAAGTGAGGACTCAGGGAGAACATCCTCCATGCCCTGCGGGGTCAGTCACTGTCATTGATGAGCTCCTGTGCACCTGGCGCTGTGGGAAGGAGTGGGGTGGGGGAAAAAAGGACCCTGTGAAGGTGTTCACAGGGTCAGGCCTTGGCTGGGGACTCCTGTTGGCAGCATGGAAGTGGATCTGAGCCTCTTGGCGTCAGGCCCCTCTGACCGAGGTGCTTGTTTTGTGCTCCAAGCCTGTGCCTGGGGGCCCTCTACCGCTCACCCCTCACCCCTCCTGGTCCAAGTCTGTACTCTCTGGGAGAGTCAGGGCTTGCCTGTCCTTGTACCCCAACAGCCAGCTGTGGTCCCAGCCCAAGGGGGCCACTGAGCCCAGAGAACTGTGTGGGTTTTTTCTGGCCCCAGTACCTGCCTAGCAGGCTGGGCCCACCTAGAGGTTGTCTGCGTACTGTGATGCTGGCTGTCAGCCTCTTTACAGGCAGAGAGGCCTTGGCTGCCCAGGTGCCATGCTTGTCCCCCAGCAGCAGGGGTGGCAGGGCTGGGAGGAGGCCGCTTCCTGGCTCTTCCACCTCCCCCATCACTGGATTGATCAGGCCCTGTATATATACCAGGCAGAGAGCTCAGTTCAGAAAAAGTACTGCCTGCCCCTCAAGGAGCTTTCAGTAGATGTGATAACAGCTAAACTAAGGTCATTTCTGGGAGGTGGGGCTAGGAAGCTTCCCAAGGGAGGGATGTTGGTCTCAATCATGTGGAAAGGATACCTAGTGCCCCTCCTTGGGGCCTGGCTGCATGGGCACCATTCTTACCACCCCCATGCCTGTCTGCTAGAGGCCCCCTCAGTAGCCTGAGAAGGCTCAGCGGGGACTACGGCTGTACTTGTAGGAGCTCTTTCCACCTCCTCCAGAAGGGGCTAATGATGGCATCAAAGAGGCAAGGATTTTCCAAGGGCCAACTTAGGGAGTAGTATAAAGTAAAGCTTTTTTGTTGGGACAGGATTGCTTCAAATGCTTTCTTTCTAGCTCATGCACAGTTGCATTCCAGCTCTAAGATCTATGCCCAAGCTGGCTCATGGGTTCCCTTGAGTTTGAGGCATCCATCTAGTGTTCCTTTAGGAAGCTTTCTGGTGGTGAGGGGGCCTGGGGCTGGGCTGCAGGGCGGCCAGTATCCTGCACTCCTGTTCCTTCTGTTGACTGCTGTCTCGTGACTGACCACGATTATACCACCATTATACCACACAGTTTGGCTGCTCAGATGATGGATGATTTTGGTATGGGCCACTGAAGACAGGGATGGGGCTAGGTTTGTATCCCCCTCCCGCGTCTGCTTGCCAGAACTGCCTGGATCCTCACCACCAGGACCTTGTCTTTCAGAAACTTCTCCCTTCCCTCCCCACTCCCCCTTGCCCTGGGTTCTAGGCTGTAGAGTCCCCACCCCTTCAGGATATCTGTACACTGACCTTGGGACAGATACCGGGCTGGCTAGGGATGTGACTGTCTCTCCATGTTTGTGTGTACAGAACTTTATCCATCTACAAAACAAGTTATGAAGATCCAGTGACTAGTATTTAATGGTGATCTACTAAAATATTCTGTATTTATATGGTTTCAGAGGTTCTCTTACATAATTAAGGACACTCTCCCTCCAGTGTCCACATCAAATTCCACCCCAAAACGTGGGGCAGATTTGTGTATTTATTTTTGTTTGGCTTACATGTCCAGAATCCTGTGTATAGTTGTAGGATGCCTTCAAACTTTTTGAAATAAAAATATTTCCTATACGTTTGATGTCATTGTGTCATTGCTTTTATCATTATGCTGGGAATCCTTTGGATGAGGCCAAAGGTATAGGGAGAATAGATAAGTAGCAAGGAGCAGTGTGGAGAGGTCCCTGTGCTGACTGGGACAGGGCAGATCTGGGGAGCCCAGGGCTTGTGCTGTTTTATGGGACATAGTTTACAAAGTGATTTGAGTCCTTTCTCATCTGATTGTTACAAGGTATGTTGTAGTGGAGAAAGGAGAGGCCAAACCCGAGAGACACTGAGGGAGGCATGCGGCTTAATCCTTACAACTTCCAAGTGGAGAAGCCCTCACTTTACTTGACTCAGGACCTAGCTGGCTTCCGCCTCCTCCCATCCCTTCTTCCCCTATCCCCTTCTCCTAAAGTTGTATACAGGATGATGATGAGCCTGGACCCTTGGAGGTGGAGCCCTTAAAATGGAAGACTCCCAAAACAAGCTGAGTCCACATATGACACCAAGCTTAGGAATGCTTTCCACATCTCCCTCTGAGCAAATGTGCAGACCCTGCCTGAGCCGGCGGAGGGCCAGCGCCAGGGCTGGGAAGGGGAGTATCTTGAGGCTATAGTTTGTTTTTTAATATCCTTCCCAAAGCAGATCTAAAGCAGCTCATAACCTATATAGGAAAAGAAATGAGAAACCTGGGATGTCTGCAGTTGAGTAACTTCTTAGTCCTGAGCTTCCAAGGTCAAGGGTAAAGGACAGATGGTCAAGACAAGTTCTGGATCTGAAACGGAAATTTTTTCCTAGCTTCAAAGTCTAGGAGGAATTTAGCGTGCACGTGAAGTTTCAGGAAGCCACCAGTGATACGTTTACATACCAGGCTCTGCAGCTGTTGGGGTCATGGCCATCACTACTGATTCAGTTTACCTGTGCCAAGCATGGCCCTTCAATACTTACTGTGTGGGTGGGATAGTTTTAAAACTCCCCCCATCAAGTGGTAGGGCCCATGTTCCCTCCCCTTTGAATCTAGGAAGTGACTTTTTGGTGACTGCCTCAACCAGCAGCACATGACAGATGATGCTACCTGACTTCCAGAGCTAGAGCGTACACGAGCCTGGCAACCTCGGCCATCTCTTGGGACCCAGCTGCCATGCTTTGAGGAAGTCCAGGCAGCATTGGAGAGGAGCCCAGGCCCTGCACAGCCCGGGCAGAGCTCCCAGCCAACAACCAGCCAAAAGCCAGCACCAACTTTCCAGGCAGGTGCATGACCACCTTGACAGCAGATCCTCAGCCCCAGTGAAATTTGGGGTGGTCTTTTATCCAGCAGTAGGTAACTGGAACTGTGGGTTTTCTCATTTAATCCTTGCCTATGAAGCTGTATTGCTCAGCCCATTCAAAGATGAAGAAATAGAAGCAGGGAGCAGTTAGTAACTTGCTGAGAGTTGGGAAAGAATTTAGGCTCAGGTGCTCTGCCATCAGCACCCACACACTCTCCCTCAATGCCACGCGGCACCCCACCCCACAGCTCCCTGTGGCTGGAGAACCTGGATACCAGGGCTGCAACCAGAGCCACCAAGGCCTGGCCTTCCCTACACCCCAGGCCTCCTGTATAAGCAACCAAGCTGGGACTCCCATGAGGGAAGGGTCACCTCTGGCAGGCATGTGCCAGCCAGGGTCCAGAGTTTGCCTGGCCGTGAGCCCAGCCCTCCTCAGACCCCAGTGTGATCGGCTATGCTAACTGAGCCTTGACTAGCCAACAAGGCCATCATCAGAGGCCCTGGCCACTCTGATTTCATTCCCAAAGGCTTAGTGATGATTTCTACCCCGACTAGCTGTTACCACCTCAACTATGAAATAGCCAACACTATAGCCATATCTGGCTAATGCTCCCAGTTCTAAAGTCCTGGGAGAATGAGGGACAAAATAATAGATGTAAGAGGGTCTGGGGCCAGAGGCCTGGCCCACAAAGCTGCCGTCTCCAGACAACGTGGAAGAGAACCGCTGGCTGAGCTGTGTACTCTGGAAGGGTTAGGCAGGGCCCCACTTCTTGACGGCACAGAGGAGGGGGCATCACTGCAGTCCTGATCTGGGGAAAGGACTGCTGGTTATGCCGGAACACCCAAGTCCAAAGCCATGTGGTTTATTGGGGTGTGGGGCCACAGGACCAGGGCGGGCTATGTGTCACAATCCTCAGAGATGGCGGCTGTGATGATGAGTGAGGGCTCCATGACACCTGGGCTGGCAAAGCTCTCATCTGCACACAGTCTCTGGCCAGGAAGCTGGGAGGCCAAGCTGCCCTGGGCCAGGGACTCCACGATCACCTCAGCTGAGCCCACCTCCAGCTCAGCGGGTGGCTGGAGCGCCACCACCACCATCTTCTCGTCCTCAATGATCAGGTTCCGGAGCTTGCGCTGCCGTGGGTTGTAGTTCTCCACTCGGTCATGGATCTCCATGTGTCTCCGCAGGTGGGCCTGAGGTAGAGGATGGGGGGGAGCTCAGGGCTAGTGGAAGGTGGGCCTGAGATGAAGGGAAGGGGGAACTCAGGTTTTGGAGGGTGAGCCTGAAGTAAAAGAGAGAGCTCAGGGCTGGGAGAGGTGGACCTGAGATGAAGGGAGTGGGGAGCTCAAGACTGGGGAGCGGGGGGCCTGAGATGAAGGGAAGGGGGAGCTCAGGGCTGGGGGAGGCAGGCCTGAGATGAAGGAAAGGGGGAGCTTAGGGCTGGGGGATGAGCCTGAGGTAGAAGATGGGGCTGGGGAGAGGGGGGCCTGAGATGAAGGGAGGGGAGAGCTCAGGGCTGGGGGGAGGGGGGTTTGAGGTGGAAGGGGGAGCTCGGGGCTGGGGGAGATGGGCCTGAGACGAAGGGAAGGGGGAACTCGGGTGGGGGGTAAACCTGAGGTAGAGAATGGGGGGAGCTCAGGACTGGGGGGAGGTGGGCCTGAGATGGAGGGGGGAGCTCAGGACTGGGGAGAGGTGGGCCTGAGAAGAAGGGAGTAGGGAGCTCAGCAATGGGGAGAGGTGGGCCTGAGATGAAGGGAGTGGGGAGCCCAGGACTGGGGGAGGGAGGCCTGAGGTGGAGGGACAGGGAGCCCAGGCTCAGCCCTGTGCCCTACCTGCCGGGTAAACTTGTAGCCGCACTCTGTGCATTCGAACTTCCTCACTCCTTTATGCCTCCTGACATGCACACGCAGCTGCTCCACAGCTGCAGGAGGGACAAAGGCATGAGGAGCCCTCCAGGAGATGTGGGTAGTGGGCCAGGAGCATGCCCTGAAGTTGGGACACTGGGAGACCCGGGGCTCATGGGGAAACAAGCAGAGAGCAAGGAGGGCTGAGTAGACGCC